TTTGTTTATTGGTTAGGTACATTTGTTGTGCAGACAGGAGAGTCAGCATTCCAAAGATACATACAGCATAGCAATACAAATGAAAGGTTAAAAAGACCAGACAGAATTCATAAGAACAAACATCGTCAATTACATCAGGTCAAGTCCTTACACAGACACAAGTTCAGAATATCCTGGCATGGTAAAAGTGCATCATCTTGTGCTGGCTTTGTTAGTTAGTGCTAAAGCTGCAGGTACAAAAGTGTTTCTGTAGCGTTTTGTTCTCCCATTTGGGAGCAACAAACCGACAACCGGGGTAGAGAAGCTGAAACTCCCCATTTAAAGGCCGAAAACAGTCATGGAGACTAGAGCCTACCTTACGCTGTTGCTGTAAAGAATTAAGATCTTGTCACCACTAACACTAGAGAAGATATATAGAGATTTATACTGCGTAAAATTAGATTCTTAATCTCAATGAGGTTTCCCTGGTTAAATAAATTCTAATATAATGAATCATAGATAGTCATGGATCTATAGTGCCAGATAAAAAAAAACCCTAAATAATAGAGAGTAAAGGATCATTATGACATCAGGGTCTTGTTCTAAACCATGAGGAATGTAATATTTCCTCATTTCAGCAAACAAGGCTCAGGTGAAACGGATTATGTTCTCATTAGAGCCTAAAGTCTGAATCAAACCTCAAACTGTGACCTTACAAACCCTCTGAGATCTTGTGTGGTTTCCAAAGAGTTTGTGACCGGGAGCTAGCGTTCGAAGAAACCAGCAGGAGTAGCAGCTACTCCTCCGCTCACCTTTTTGGGTTCTGTCATGATGAAGCCTGGCCGGGAAAATTCCAAGTGAAATTGCAGTGAAACATTTTGCTCTTGGCATTCAAAGATGAAACTCACTCTGAAAATTTCAGGATGTTTTCAGGAGTTTTGTGTATATGTGAATAGTGCTGTAATTTGCCTTTTGTTGTAAAGTGGCCGACAAGGGAAACTGACCTCTACAGCCGAAATGACTCACATTATAGGAAAGAGGTGTGAAATTCAGAAACCATATTAATTCAAAGGAAATCAAGTCAGTCAGAAACCAAATGAATTAAAAGGAAATACATAATTCCAAAACAAATGCAACGACCAGAACATGATGGTCGTCACATGAACAAGTGAAAGAAACGGGCCGCAAAAAGTGGAAACCGCCATATTAACATCAAACATGCTGCAAACAGATGAACAATTTAAAGTCACGATGTTAATATGCAGTTGTTTTAGCGTATAGTTCCATTGCAGCTCTTTTCAGATGTTGCATTTGTTTTGGAATTTGGCATTTACTTTTGAACTGGTATCATTTCTGAAGTCGTATTGGCCATTATGCCCTCGTTGGACAGCGTATGATTAGCAAAGATAGAAAATATTCCAACTTTTCAAATATAACGGTTTTCTGCCACCCTCTGTTTTCCACTTAGTTGATTTTATATTTGTGCATTTGTCAGAGAAAAAAAATGTAAAGACATCCACCTGGGGTCTGGTAAAATATGATTGGAATTTTTTTAAATATTTGTGGACCCCTTGCATAATAGTGGAAAAAAGTATTACTTCAGCCTTATTAACATAATTACAGCAGAGTGACGGACAAGCTGGCATCCCCTGTAGCTCAGTGATGTGGGTCAGCTGACAGGAGCATGCAACACACACAAATGCATTATTCAGTGTTGTGTAACAAAGCTTACATAACTCTCACTTAAACAGAAGCATCCCCCTTCAACCCATGTTACACACTGTGCATTTATTTGCATCAGTGACACAGATGCAGGACTTAATCCCAACAGCTGGATTGACCAGATAAAAGCCGTGACCTCAAGACAAATTCTGAGAAAAAAGCTCTCTATGTTACATGTCAATCTCTCAGCTGGGGGCTGACCACAGGACGTCACTTTTACAGAAAAAAACAAATCAGAGAGCTGTGACAACATTTGTGCTGTCTGCTGGCCAAAAAGCCTCAAGGTGGATTACACATTTGATTTGATGAGGGATCACTTCCTGTGATCTCATCAGTCCTATGACGTCTGGCAAAGGCTGGGCTCATCCTCTACAGTCAGCTTTATTGGGATTTACAAGGTCTCTGTCTCCCCTTTACCCACGCGTCTGCTGAGATTGTATCCTGAATTTGACACAAAACCCTCAAACAGAACCATAATCAAACACCTTTTAAACCCAACCCTTCAAAATAAGATGTAAATGCTTTTTTGAAGACTTCTCTGCAGCTCCAGATATACAGTTTACAATATCCCCATAGCAGGAGGCTGAGCAGGTTACAGCAGTGTATTGGCGAGAGGTGGGGAACACTTGGGAGTGTTCACCAGTCAATTACAGGGCTGACGTATAGAGAACGAGAGCAATTTATAGACGACAATTAACCTAATGAGCATGTTGTTGGACCGTGGGAGGAAGCCAGACTACCTGGAGAAACTCAACACATGTACGAGGAGAACTTGTTAACTCCACTGCAAAATTTTGGCTGGGGATTCAAAGCAGGAACCTTCTCGCTCACCATTGCACCACTTTCTTTATTCCAACTAATCCTAACACAGTTTCAGCTTATTAAAATTTTTCAGATGCTTTCTTGCACAAGTGGCCTATATGGCTAAATATTTGATGAATTCAGTCTCACTCCAATATAATGTTTTAAAAGGGGCTCTATTACTGCATACAATGAAGTTTCTGGCATCAGCAAGTAATCCAATGGATGCAGTCACAGTTATGATGAAATAGTGGAAAAGAACAACATAAGAGTCCAAAGCAGCTTCATTACATTCACGTCTTGCTTGTGGTAAATGTTCCTGATTATTACCTGCTGCGTTCAAACATCAGCTTAAATAGTACCAAGGAGATGACTGGAAACGTTTTGTAAAATGTGGGGTTTGAAAAATGTGGTTGTTTGCGTTCAGACATGCAGCTCATCCCGTGTTGTTTGTGCAAATGTGAAAAGGGCTGGACGCATAAAAAAATGGGAAAAAAACGTGTTCAAAGTTTGAGTTTAGATATAAATGTTTATGTTGATTATTACTGGCTGTCAAATGAGATACAGGTAATGGTATAACATTGTTTGTCATCCATTCTCTGTTTTTTTTTTAGAAAGAAAACACCTTTTTAGAAAGGATTTAACCCTAAGGCAGGCCAGAAAACAATTCTAGAAAGTGTGCATTCATAGAGATGAGCAGTAATCAGATCTTATTCATATAGATTTAGACTACACCAGTATTGAATGGATACTTGGTGTGGGCCAGTTTGAAAGTACAAGTATAATATATAGTCTGGTGTAAAGGTTTATGTTCATATTGCACTGTCACCACAAACTCTTTGGGCTTGGTTTCTTATTCTGTATTTCCTCCATGTTGTACAGAACATCACATCATTGTCCTCTGTGGTAGCTTCAACCCCCCCAAATCATGAAACAGCAATCTACATTAAAGTAAAACAAATTTTTTGGAAGAACATTTTGTTCATTGAGCTATTTTAAGAACCAGCCCAGGGGCTGAAATATGATGATCTGATTGTTCAAGTCTGATAAATTATTTTAAGCTTTGCCTGATCTGTTCCCTTTATGTCGCTTTTGTTATTGTGCAGATATGTTCAAACAGCAAAACAGACTCCGTCAGGATTTAAGGACATGGTTGGAATAGGATTATCCGCAGAGATCACATTATGATAAGGAGACAGTGGGGAATAGATAACACAGCATGTTCTTATTTAAAGACTAAACAGAGCAGCTCTTGTTTTAATATCAAACTTTCTTTTAATGTCTGATGCAGAAATTGGAGTCTGGCCTAAACAGCCGGTGTTTGTGTCCAAACACAGATTCAGATGGTCAGTTCTGGGCTTTTCGTCAGTATGCAAATCACGTCAGCTGGCCAATTGTTCAGCGTCACGACCACCAAACAAAGCTCAAATTCATCATGCGCGTCTGCTGATGGAGCAGGCAACGACAGACCGCCAAGGCAAAGTCTGCTCCTCTATGGGACGTATTGTTGTACGCCAATGCAGTCTGAGTCATCCACCGTGAGCGCCCTCCTCGTGGAGGCTCCAGAGCTTGCCAACACCCACCAACAACGGCTGTCCACTTGGTTATAAAATCCCTCCTACATAGAAACAGTCTGTCGGTGGCTGTTTTTTAAACTACTATGGACTGTGTTGATTGATGGATTCTTTAATCCTGTATAATCAATTTGAAGAAATGTTCTTCATAAAAATCTGCACGTTCTTCCTTCAGAACATTTTTAAATAACACAAATAACAGGCTAACTTTTGTGTTTAGCTGTAGTATATAGAGCTTTTTATGTCGTTTCATGAAAGTGGGGAGTCATTTTGAAATGATGTGATTAAAACATAAAGGATATTTCATCCTGTATATCATTTTGGACTTCTGAAGTTGAGGACTTTTTCTCTTCACCTCTTTTTGTAAAATGTTCAGCAGGAGGAAGGGCTTCAGACTATTTCGAACTATATTCCAATCTTCTTTGCACTTTTTCTTAATTATCCAATACACCATGGTTTGCTATTCATGTGTTTACTGCATACACATTTATTTCCCCCTTTTTAACCCCTTTAATAAATAAAAAAAACACCCTTCAAATAATGATCACACGTTAGCTAACAGTTTGTATCCTCAAGATCATTCAATCATTTAAAACATTTCCTTTATTTTTCTTTGTTTCAGCTCTTCACTAAGTGTTTGGATGTTTCATTTTCTTTTGTATTCCCTCTTTCTTTCTCTGTACCTAAAGTGAGATGAAATCATAAAAAAAGTGCTGAAATATTTTTTATATTGCTTGTTATATTCTACATTTATTAACCTTTCATATTTTATTATTTGATATTTTCTACTGCTATAGTCACTGTCCGTTGGGATAAAGGAAGAATTTCAACCACAAACAACATATTAAAAGAGAAAACGTTATATCCGGCAGCCATCTTTGGTATCCTACTGCCCCCTGCTGGGTGAACCCGTGCATGCAACTACCAGAATGACTAAAATACGTCACATCCGCCTGGGGAGCGTCCACTTTAACACACAGCCGGTGAGAGAGAAGGTGAGTTTTCTGCATCGGCGTCCATCCAACTTTATTTCTATAATTTTTAAAGTTTATTCCTGAAAATAAATAATCTTTGAACTCAGAGTTCTTCAAAGATGGCGGTTTTTGTTGACGGAGTTGTAGTTTTACAGGTTTTAAATTAGTCTCGAGCAGATGTTGGTGTTGAACTACTCTTAGCTAACGTGTTGGTGTTTTTTTTTTTTATCACTGCTAATATTTATTACTATGTTTTATTTACAGATTTACAAGAGAAGACGTGGAAAAAGTCAAGGAACAAGAAAGGTAAATATAATTGTTGTGTTTTTTAAACCCTCGTGTAGTGGATATGTGACGTGTATGGATGTTTATGCACTAAATGACGAACATTAGGGTTACATGTGTGATCGTGCAGACCTTCCAGCGAGGCTCAGCCTGCAGTGGCTCTGATCTTTCCTTCAATGTCTGCTAGAGAGACGTGAGGCCGTTTGAGGCCCTGCTGTGTGCTCCTCATGGCAGGGTTATAGGTAAACCTCCGACAAAACACACAAGAAGGTCATTGTAAGAGTCCAGGTATTATTAGTAGCGAATAGTCATTGAGCTCACCTTTTTATTCTGAGTTCACTCCTCATGATGCATTAAGTGTTAGAGGTTACTTTGTGTATGAACAAGAAGTCTTATTGTGAAATTCTCCTTTACAGGATGCAGATGAAGGATGGTGTGTCTCCGCTCAGAGCTCCTGACTGACATCTGAGGCTCCTCAATGACTTCAGGTCAGTATTTGTGATATAAAGACAAAACTTAGTGTTCAGAACAAACTGAACTTTTAAAGATGCGAAGATAAAATGTCTCTGACTCGTCTCCTGTCGTTAAACTGCTTAAACAAAAGTCTAAAAGCAGTTTTAGTTGAAGGTTATCATTACATTTGATCGATACTTTTCTGAACCTCTCAAAGTTCAAGGTGCATCGTTAACGAGGTCTGAAGCTTTGCAGGGAGAGGAACACTTTGTTTAGAATTCAACAATATAAAGAGTTAGAGCTGTACTCGGATACTGTTGTTACATGAGTACTGTAATCATCGTGCAGACCTTCCAGCGAGGCTCAGCCTGCAGTGGCTCTGATCTTTCCTGTAGTGTCTGCTAGAGAGACGTGAGGCCGTTTGAGGCCCTGCTGTGTGCTCCTCATGGCAGGGTTATAGGTAAACCTCCGACAAAACACACAAGAAGGTCACTGTGAGAGTCCAGGTATTATTAGTAGTGAATAGTCATTGAGCTCACCTTTTTATTCTGAGTTCACTCCTCATGATGCATTAAGTGTTAGAGGTTACTTTGTGTATGAACAAGAAGTCTTATTGTGAAATTCTCTTTTACAGGATGCAGATGAAGGATGGTGTGTCTCCGCTCAGAGCTCCTGACTGACATCTGATGCTCCTCAATGACTTCAGGTCAGTATTTGTGATATAAAGACAAAACTTAGTGTTCAGAACAAACTGAACTTTTAAAGATGGTAAGATAAAATGTCTCTGACTCGTCTCCTGTCGTTAAACTGCTTAAACAAAAGTCTAAAAGCAGTTTTAGTCGATGGTTATCATTACATTTGATCGATACTTTTCTGAACCTCTCAAAGTTCAAGGTGCATCGTTAACGAGGTCTGAAGCTTTGCAGGGAGAGGAACACTTTGTTTAGAATTCAACAGTATAAAGAGTTAGAGCTGTACTCAGATACTGTTGTTACATGAGTACTGTAATCATCGTGCAGACCTTCCAGCGAGGCTCAGCCTGCAGTGGCTCTGATCTTTCCTGTAGTGTCTGCTAGAGAGACGTGAGGCCGTTTGAGGCCCTGCTGTGTGCTCCTCATGGCAGGGTTATAGGTAAACCTCAGACAAAACACAACGTTAGTCACTGAGAGTCCAGTTAGTACTCGTAGAGGATCATCTTTGAGCTCACCTTTATTCTAAATTCACCTCGAGGTGACGCTTTTGAACCTTTCCATGTGCCAGAAAGTCATGACGGAGTGTTCACTGCTGCACAAGATTATGTTCAAGGGTTTTTTTTTTTTGGGTGCACTACTGCTGCAACATCGACTTGATTTAAGAATCACAACATACAGAACAAGGCTTACGTAATCACATGAGATTACATGTGAAAATATGTTTAAAATGTTGAAATATGACTTTAAGCAAAAGTAAGAAACTTAAATACTAAATAAATGACCTCGGTTATAAATGTTTTACATCTTTCTCTTGTTTTCATGTGTTTAGACTTTAACTGGCCTTTCTTTTGAACTTAGCACTTAATAAAATCACTACTTCAGTATTTAAAAAAACAGATATAAAGACATAATTTGGTCAGATGTTCAGAATGACTTTGCCGTGTTACTTTCTCTACTGCACTCCTCATGATGCATTAAGTGTCTTTAGTTAGTTAGTGTATGAAAGAACAAGTCTTATTGTGAAATTCTCCTTTACAGGATGCAGATGAAGGATGGTGTGTCTCTGCTCAGAGCTCCTGACTGACATCTGAGGCTCCTCAGTGACTTAAGGTCAGTATTTGTGATATAAAGGAGAGGAACACTTTGTTTAGACTGCAACAACATAAAGAGTTAGAGCTGTACTCAGATACTGTTGTTACATGAGTACTGTAATCATCGTGCAGACCTTCCAGCGAGGCTCAGCCTGCAGTGGCTCTGATCTTTCCTGTAGTGTCTGCTAGAGAGACGTGAGGCCGTTTGAGGCCCTGCTGTGTGCTCCTCATGGCAGGGTTATAGGTAAACCTCCGACAAAACACAACGTTAGTCACTGAGAGTCCAGTTAGTACTCGTAGAGGATCATCTTTGAGCTCACCTTTTATTCTGAGTTCATTGACTCACTGCACTCCTCATGATGCATTAAGTGTTAGAGGTTACTTTGTCTATGAAAGAAAAAGTCTTATTGTGAAATTCTCTTTTACAGGATGCAGATGAAGGATGGTGTGTCTCCGCTCAGAGCTCCTGACTGACATCTGATGCTCCTCAATGACTTCAGGTCAGTATTTGTGATATAAAGACAAAACCTAGTGTTCAGAACAAACTGAACTTTTAAAGATGCTAAGATAAAATGTCTCTGACTCGTCTCCTGTCGTTAAACTGCTTAAACGAAAGTCTAAAAGCAGTTTTAGTCGAAGGTTATCATTACATTTGATCGATACTTTTCTGAAGCTTTGTAGGGAGAGGAACACTTTGTTTAGACTGCAATGATATAGAGAGTTAGAGCTGTACTCAAGATACTGTTGTTACATGAGTACTTTAATCATCGTGCAGACCTTCCAGCGAGGCTCAGCCTGCAGTGGCTCTGATCTTTCCTGTAGTGTCTGCTAGAGAGACGTGAGGCCGTTTGAGGCCCTGCTGTGTGCTCCTCATGGCAGGGTTATAGGTAAACCTCCGACATTTCCATTTTGGTTGCAGCAAAGCAAGCGAGATGAGTAGATGATTGAAGTTGTACTCCTCCAGCGTCCTCCATTATCTTACTGAAATGAGAACATGTTTTGTTTTCCAGGAGTGATTAATTCAGCTCTGTGATCAGCGGCTGCAGACGTCGGGCATGTTGAACGTCTCTCTGGAGGTAAGATCATTTGAACTCTTCAATGTTTTTAGTAAAGCTAGATTCAAAGAAATGAACTGCATGTATATACAGTCCAGCTCAGTGAGGTATGAGCTGATGTGTCCTTGTAATGAAGATAAATGCACCTGAGAATGCACTAAGAATTGATGAATCCTGTTATTGTTCTCCACAGACTTCCTGACAGCCCCAAAAAGACTTGATGTGTCCGTAACCGTGACGACTGATGTTAACTGTGATCTTCAGGATTATCTCCAGCAACCAGACTTTGACCCAGGTGAAGAAACAATAAGACTTACTGTAGTGTTTTTTTTTCGTTTTTTTTAAAGAATGAAATGTGTAAAATAATCTCCTTCTTTCTCTGCAGATTTTTCCTGCGAGTCAAGGAACCGGCTCGTCTGCTGTTTGGCTGTCTGACAGTCAGATCATGTGGTTTTGTGTCATTGGCACACTTTTGGAAAAGGTGACTCATGTAATGTGTATTTATAAGTAATAACAGAATGACGCAATGTGGAAATAAACATCTGAAACAAACCTGCTGTAGTTTGGGCTTTATTAGTGTCTGCATGATAAACTGTGTTCAGGTAATACAGCTCAGTGTTGTGATGGATCATGTTGTGTATTTGTCACATGCTCATACAGATGTGCTGTGAACTGTACTGGTGTTTAGTTTGTGAGAGAACAAGAAGTGAATTCACTGCAGCTGGTCTCGCATCCCTCAGTAAACTGTCTGTCCCTTTGTGGAGCATGATTTGCATTAACTCCAAAATGATTTAAATAAACCTCAACCTGATTTTAATGACTGTCAACCAAAATAACCGATGTTCTTGTCCTGATTGAGTAGATAAACGGTGTCATGTTCCTCTTGGGATAAATCTATTAAGTTGTTTTTACAAAAGTAGCATGATCAGTGGACTTAAGAAAAAAGTTGTTGCATGAAACCTTCGCCTCCCCCATATTTGTTGAAACCCAAATCTGTAAACCCCATTATGCTTGCTTTTCAAGTCTTAACTCGTAATACAGAAATCCCTCTCCACCCTTCTTGTTTTTATTTATTAGATTATGTCGGCATCAGTCTTTTCCAAATGAACTGAAAACACATTTTGTTTGCTCTGAAACCAATGAGTCTGTAATAGTGATCAAATTCCAGGTGAGGGAGAAACTGCACTCGTCTGTTTTGTAAGTCAGGATGTTTTAACATGAGAAAATAACATTTAATTTTGACGTACAGTTTAAATTATTTTAATAAAACTAATTACAAAGCAGTTCCTCCATCAATTCATCTTGTATCCTAAACATGTTTGTAGACATTTAAATATTTGTAATAAACCGGGTAGATTTCTAATATGTTCCCGGTACTTCTAATACTTTTAATACAGCCGATATTTTATTCTTCACTTTTATTATTAAAGTGTAGGCGATTCAAATTTGGTATTCTGTTTTGAACTGTTTACCTGAAGCGGATGTGACGTCATTACTTTCGGTATCGTCTCAACTAAACAAACGTCATGACGTGACATTACAAAGAGTGAGCTCCAACAGAGTAAGTAACAAACCCGAGTGACTAAAACAAACATTTACTACTTCTTTTTGTTTCCTTTATGCTCTATGAGGTTTTTTTGTTGTTGAAAAAACGAATGTTTAACCGGAAATAAGAACGAGTGAAGTCATGACCAGACTCACCTGTTCTCTCAGTTCTACATTTGTATTTCTCCATCTCTTATCACTGCTAAAAAAAAAAAACCTTAGCCTTTACGTTTCCAGGGAAACTCTCTGAGAGTAAAGAAGTGAAAAGAATGAGTCTAGTTTGACCTGAAAGCTCTTAACTTTCAGTTTCGATGAAACAGTTTGAAGTTTCATGTTGGTCCTGGTGTCAAAGTAGAACATCGAAAAACGAGTCACTATGATGTCAAAGATGACTGTATTATTGTTTCTGAAGTATTAGTTATACACTACTTTATTGTACTGTACTACTTTGTTTTATTTTCCGCAAGTTTGAGCTCATTTTATAAAAAAGCTGTTTATATTTCTGTTTGTAAAATATTCATAATTTCATTTATGTAGGTCTTTCAAACAGGGTTAAAAAGTGATCTACACATGGAATTAAAATGCCAAAATGAAGGAGAAGTGTGAGGAAGACTGTGATTAAAAATGTAAAAATGATATAGTCAGGGGCTAAGAGAGAGGGGTCCTCCTTGTTGCTTTTTTTTCCTGCATTTTGAACCATTTCTAATCAAAGACAGAATGTGTTTTATTTCTCGATCAGTTTGAGGAAACCTCAGTTGTTTCTTCTTGCAGTTGTTATCATGAACTCTTTGGTTGTTATCGCCCTCTACTGACCGACTGAAGGAACTGCAACAGTGTCAGGGTGTTATATTGTAAACTGAGGGTCTCTTAGGTCTTTTCTAAGACCCTATAAATTCAGCTACATCACACTTACAAACTCACGGCTTGTGTATCATCCTATAAAATACCAAACACAACCTGTAGACCAACGAAAACGTTCAACAGACACAAAAAGTATACAACAGAAAAAAACACTACTGATGTTACTTTACACCATGCGTTAAGAAAAGAGAGGTTTTAGCCAACCCACTCCCATGCTCATGTGTTTTCCCATAATGCATCCCTGTTTCAGATCAGCCAATCAACACATCAATCATTAACATAATGGAGTAAAGAAGTCGTGCTTTTCTGTCCCACAGTTGCTGCTCCAGTGTGTCGGTGGTGAATCATCAACGATATCATGAGGTACCTGAACATTACCAACACATTTATAATTTCCCCCTTAGGTTAGACCAAATTCTAAATCATTGCTCTGGCAGTCCAGAGCGAGCTGAGCCGCTGGAAGCACACACATTGAATAAAGTAAAAACCTATCAGCTCCGAGACGTACAGAACGTGCATCTGGTGGAATTTAGGCTTTAAGTGTCGTCCTTTTGTCGTATTGTTTTCATCGTTTAGAAAATGTGTGATGGATGACTCCTCTTTAGAGACCGGTGGGTGACGTCACTGAAACTACGTCCAGTCGAGAGTTTGATCAGATTCATCATTCTGAAAGGTTTGTCTGCTGTTCCTCGTGTCATCCTGATGATGATTCCCTCTCCTTTTTTTTTTTTAATCCCCAGATGGATTTCCCCGTGGAGGCAACAGTACATTTGAATAGTTTCCCCAATAAAAACAAGGTGAGACAAATCCTCTGCTCAAATGGCTTCGAGTTGAAAGAGATGGGACGCGATCAGGTGCGCGTCAAGGGGTCGTTTCTGAAACTTAAAGCAGTGAAGGCCTCTTTGGAGCAATTTTTACAATCTAAACCAGACGTCGCTCCATCCTCACCCTCACGGGCTCTGAAGGTTTCCTCAGGAGCCATTCCCAAACACTACGCCAACGCTCATGGTACTACAGGCCGATCAGGATCCCCCAAAAAGTCTCCACATGCTTCTCCATCTTCACCCACAATTATGTCACCTTTTGCATCCGGATCCAATCGTCCGATCTCTCCAGAGCACAGGAATTCTTTTTCTCCAAGGCCGGACCGAGGTGGCTCGTTCAGGCCGGGAAAGGAATCCTTTCTGGTTGATGCTGATGTGTTTTTGTACGCAGAGCAGCTCAGGAAAAGAGACATTGACTGCATCCTGGAGGGCCATAATGTCAAAATGCAAGCCGAGGAAGATACTGAAGACAGCTGCACGATCACTTTGATGGGAAAGAGTGCAAGAATAGCTGTGGGGAAACTCCAGAGTCTCCTGGATGATCTCGGAAAATCACTGCGCACTCAGGAGGTTCCTCTGAGGGACCTGGATCACGAGGGCCGAGATCTTTTAGAGCGCATTCGGAAACATAAAAACATTTTTGATTCAGTGCTCGTGCGTGAGAAAAGTGACCGACTCCACCTCGTCGGAGGGTCTGGTGAGAGCTACAGCTTGAAGCAAAGGCTGCTGAGGAAATCGTCTGACCAGTCAGGACGCACCGGGAGGACGCTGGATAGAAACTCCAGAGGGAGAAGCAGCTCTTTGCCACCAATCAGTCGCAGGAACACAGAAATAGAAAGGGGTGCTAATGCTAATCAATCGCCTGCGGGTGCTGCGGGCTACTCTCCGTCAAAGTACCAGGATGATGAACAGAAACATGTCGGGACCGAGAGGGCAGCTGCTACTCGTTCTGGTTCAGGCGGATCTTCTAGGAGAAGAAGCCAATCAGAGTCCCGCAAAAAACCCAAGCCAGAGAAGACGAATGGACCGCTGCAAGAAAGAGCAAACAATCGAACTCCTGCTAAACTACCCAAGACACTCAAGCAGTTACTAACTGCAAAGACAGAAGATATAAAGCAGAAGTTTAAAAGTAGCTTGAGTATTAGAAAGAAAAAATGAGCCTGGACTTGACAGCACTGAGACCTTCTTTTTCTCTATTTTTGACCTTGATAATTTTTATTTGAAGTTTGAAATAACATTGCATATGAAACTTAAAGGCTTTATATGTGATTTTTTTGATCCAGCAGATGTTGCCCTTGAGCAGCAGCATGAAACAAAAACAACTCGCGCTGCATTGTTGTGTTAGCATGCTAATGCTAGCGATCTTTATTATGCTCGTATCTTCACACTGCATGTAAATTTACCTGAAATGAGCGTGATCTAGAAACACAGTTAAGCAGTATGTTATTCTTCTTTTCTCTAGTCCCTCAATTAAACAACTTTTAAACATGAGGGGAGAAGTCAGCCGGCCGTCCCGGCGATGTAAACAAACTGAAGATAGGACTCAGAAAACTCTGAAAACATCACAGACAGTGGGACTCGGGTGTTACACCCATTGTAGACAGTCATAACTCACAGAGTTATTTTCAGAGGATATACTTGATTTCTATTACATTTAAGTGTGAAAAATCACATATAAAGCCTTTAAGTTTGCATGTACGTGTTGACTGTTTAAGGCAGCACTTTGCTGTTTGTAAAATGTGCCTTTGTTTTGGACGATGTCAAGCAGATATCAATCAGAGGGATAGGCCACACCCACGCAGTCTTTGGAAATTGACTCAAAGCTGTATTTAATTTGTTTTTCTGATGAAGGTTTGTTTTCAGTAAGATTTTTGTGGATGCTTTATGACACTTTTGCGTGATCTAGAAACACAGTTAAGCAGTGAGTACAGTATGTTATTCTTCTTTTCTCTAGTCCCTCAATTAAACAACTTTTATACACGAGGGGAGGAGTCAGCCGGCCGTCCTGGTGATGTAAACAAAGTGAAGATAGGACTCTGAAAACTCTGAAAACATCACAGACAGTGGGACTCTGGTGTTACTCCCATTGTAGACAGTCATGTTCTATTATATTATTATCTATATCTATCTAGTTATTTTCAGAGGATATACTTGATTTCTATTACATTTAAGTGTGAAACATCACATATAAAGCCTTTAACTTTGTTAGAAAGCTACAATCTTCTGTCCATTGTTACACTTTCTTTGTCAGCATGTCGGTTCATTATAAGTGCAGGAGATGGACAGAAGACTTCTTATAGATGACATAATTTAAAGTTAGTTTTGCAATTTGTGTTTAACTCTAACACACTAATGTCATACTCTGTGTCTTTATCCATTTTGTCACTGTTTTAACATTTTGTCAGTAGATTGAATTTTCAAATCCTCCATCACGGTTTCCTCAGGTCATGCTGATGTCCTAAAGTGGTCCACGGTCCACAGCCAGCCCCCCAAAGCTTCCCATCCGGCCCCCAGACTATGAATAACCTCGGGTGATTAAACAAAAAACATAAAATTAAAATCACAAGGCTGAAATACTTGTATGAGGTAAATTAGAGATTTTACATTTCTCCTCTGACACCAGCTTCTTCACATCAGGCTTGACAGCTGTCAAGCTTATGAGCATACATATTTTAAAGTCCCGCCCCCACGGTGTCTAAGGTCGAAAGGTTCTATAGCACTGAGCCTCAGACGCCCAGATGTTTGATCAACAGTCCTAAACTTAATTAATTAATTCAGTATAATGTTCAGGAGAGGAAATGTGGAACATTTGTCACATTCAACATTTTGCAAATTTGGTTGCAAATGAATTTTCAAACATTTGGCTGATCAAATAATCGATTAAATGTATCTGTAGGTGTGATTATAGCTTTTCATTTTTGTGCCACAGACGAATCATTACTTTTATTCTTCAAAAAGCAAAGTGTTCAAATCAAGCAACAAAAATGTTTAAAAATGAAGCCAATAAAAAGGTGCAAAATCTTGCAGTTCTTCAAGGGTCTGCTTGAGGCTGGCTTCAAGAACCCCAGTAGTCACATACACACACCACATAAAAAAAGGAACGATAAGTGTTATCCATAGTTGGGCGCGTAGCTGACATGATTGACAGGTGGGTGCCATGCAACGGTTCGTCAAAAGGCTTAAAACCCGCCTCAGCTCCAGCTCTCAGTCTCTCGTTAGGTTGACTGAAAGTTAGGCTGAAACAGCATTTCCAACATGGTGGCTGCTGCCGACGAGCCTCCAGAGCCCCCTGCAGGAACAGATGAGTGACATCACTCAGGCTTCAAACATTCATATTTACAGTCTATGGTTCAAACTTAGATTACTTAGCAAAATATTAACACATTTATTTACAATTCTAGACTAACACAGTTGTATGTATTGTAATATTTAAAGTCTTTTCTGTAAATGTTAACATTATTCTGAATCTGTACTCTGGATTATCGCTTCTGGCTGCTAAATTATAACTTTTGTAAATATAAATAATTAGACACATTTCCATTAATATACAGTAATAATAAAAAAGGAATTACTTGAAGTATCTGTAGGTGTTTATTAAATGTTTAAATAAGTTGAATACCTCTCTCGTGTACATGTGTTTATGCCATGATAACACTGAACATCCAGGGCTCCTGCGTGTCTGCGTCGTTACTCTATCACCTGAACGCAACATCTCAATGGAAACAGACGTGAGAGGAAGTGTGAAAAGGAAGTGAAACGGTCTCTTAAAGACAACTATACTCATGCTCAGAGAGGAAGTCTTCAAGGCGGGTGAGAATCTAAAAGCAGCTGTAGTTAGAAGAGGATATCTGGATATTTAGATATCGTCACAGGCTGTCAAGAAACAGGAGCTCAGCAGTAGGACGGTGTTGTGTAGTTCTCGTAGTTATTGCGTCAGTGTGATGGTAAAATGCCTCGGCTCTCGTTGTCTAATCAGTGCCTGAATCAAATCTGAAATACAGAGCCTTCAAACAGGGCAGCACCTACAGTGTGACAACAAGAATGACTCAGAGTCTCCAAATCTTCTATTTTCTGGAAAGATCTGGTGATAAATATCTCGTACTGTGCAGAGTGCGTGCGGGGTTCCCCTGATTGTTTTGGTCTGTTGCCAAGGAATCCAAAACACTTCACGATATCTGATTGTCTGGACGTACTCAGTCAGCCTTTTAGATTTTTTATCATCACATCACTCTTTCATAATTACATAAAGCTATTCATGTGTTGTGACCCGGTTAGTCCTGGAGCAGTGTGAGTGCAGGCCAGTGGGCAAATGGGGAGATGGGACCCTAGGGCTACTGTCTGTTTTTTTTATAGTGCTTAATACAATTCTAGTTGTGTAAACTGTAAACATGACAAAACATGGAAGTCTACAATTCATTTAGCAGACGCTTTTATCCGAAGGGACGAACATCAGAGAGTAAGTTCAACACAACCCCGTCAGCAACCCGTCAAATATAAAGGGAAAGCAGTAACAACAACCAGTGCAATAATTATCCAGCATTTTTTTTTATTGTGTTCTGGATGTGACTTTTATGTCAAGTAGCTAGCTGCAGATCCTCAAGAAAGACTCTGTTCATGAAGCAAACAATGTAGAGCTTAACTCAGAAAAAGCATCTGAGTCACGAGTCTGAGCTGTGTCACTGTGCCGCTGTTTGGAAACACAAAGAAAACACACCGATGAAACATGTTAAGAGAGTGCAAGTGCATGTTGAGCTTCACACAGTGCTGAGAGGTTAAAGGTTGAAATAATGATTCCCTCTGCTAATTCTAATAACTTTAATATCTGCTTCTACTTGGTCAGAGAAAGTGTTGAATCAACTTTGACAGTTTGTATAAATCGTAATTGTAGATATCACAAAAAAAAAGAAAAGAAAAGAGAAACGCTGCCAGCTGTCAACAAAAATCAGCATGACTTGATGATTCTTGTAATAATTAAGAAAATAAGAGGACAGGTGCAATAAGGAAGACATGACAGAATGTTTTGTAGGTTTTGGTTGGCTGTAGGTAACTTTGGGAAAGTCCATTTGGGTGTTTGTCTTTATTTTGCTTTATTTATTCATTCAAATAAAATTAAGCTAACTCCCCAATAAGGACCCAAGACATGTTGGTCTTTGGCTTTTTTTTAATGCAAACTGTGAGACATTAGTGGAAAATGTCAGATGTTAGTCCACTGATGTGTTATTGAGAATCTGGGAGAATACAAACCTACTTAGTTGACTACTAACTGTAGGTAAATGGCTTCAATGTCATCAATGTTGAAAGTTGCACTTAAATAAAATGTGTTTATAATTTGGTTCTTCGACTAAAATGTAAAGAAACCAACCATGTTGTGTTAGCAAAACATTAGCCTCAGATGGCTAACCAAGTAGCCGTGACTGACTAGTTTGGCTGCCAACTAATGAAGTCCACAACATAAAAGTTATATTAAAACGGTTTCATGCTTCAACATTGATATTCAGGTAGGAGAAAAGAATCACAAAGCAAAGAAAAATGTTCATTTTTCAATGCTAGCTAATCTGTTACCGTTATGAAACTGTACAATCATTACCGTTATTTTTATTTTTTACTTTTGACCCTTTTATATAAAGTCCTACAACCCTTTACATACAACTTTATATTCTCTGATACCCCAGGACTGGTCTCTAGACTCTGGTAGCTACTTGTCAGGGACCAAAAACAAAGCAGAGAGATTAACTAGGCTGAAAAAATCTTGAAAAAGTTCCAGATTTTAAGAAAACAGTGATGTTGTGTTTGAGGGATTTACAAATCAACCATCTCTGGATTAGTCAGCTTCCTGTATCTCTGCACCTACACGTTCTTAACATGGCACAAACAATGGGGCTACCGCGAAACTTACGGGCTGTAATTTCCCAAAACACACAAATTAGTTTCTCAAGCTGCTGCTGGCTGTTCTACGAGTGGGAAACCTCTGATTTAAGGGGGAAAACCCTCAGGGACATGTTGTACTGCCAATGCCAAGTTAAAAAAAGGAAATGCCACGAACCTTCCCAAGAGAAAAAAGGCCATTTTCCACCCCAAAATTAGCAAAGATAAGTGCTCTTTTCTTGCAGTCTGTAAAACATGGGTGCATTTTTCTTACACACAAATGATAAGGCTAAAAATAAAATCTGTAGAGTCTTGTGGAGCGTCACATACATTTTTGGAAATGAAGAGGTCTTGTGGCAGGAAGAAAGAGACAGAAGCTGATGCAGAAGTGGTGAGTTTGTAAAGATAGCCTCCTTCTATTTATACAGAGATGTGTGTGAGGGCTTAGGCTGACTGACAGGATGACGTGCTGTAGCTTGCAGACCGCAGCGCTCTGTCACTCGCTTAAACACACCCTAAAAAAAAAAAAGCTTACCACGCCCACTGCCTGCACTACCGGGCCCCAGTAGTCGACCATACTTCTCTCTCTTCTTCCTCCCTTGAGCTGCTTTTTGTTCCTTTTCCCTGTCTGTCTTATTTTTATTTTAAAGCTCGCTGAAGGCAGGCCAGGATGGCGGAGCTGGAGGGCCTGGAGTTCGGGAAGTCGGACTTCGTGCTCCTGGATGAGGTGACGATGGAGCAGTTTATGGAGAACCTGAAGTTGAGGTAAGGACTGAGCGACTGTTAGAGAAAGAGGAAGGGAGGGGAAGCAGCTGGATCTCAGAGATGCAATGAGGAACGCCTCATACAAACCTGATGCATGTCTCTTTTTGCAAGTCTTTGTTCATCCTGCCAAGAAAAGTTAAAAATTAGAGTCAAACTTGTACAGTTTAGATTATTATTACACTTTAACTCTCTTAAACTTACTTAAGTCTTGTATTGAATTACACATTTTACAATTTCTTGACGACTTCTTAAAGAAGGAGATATAATAAAGAAATAAAATTAACATAAAGAGGAAAAAGACAAATTGAAGTGTGAGTCACAACTACTGTTCCCGCTCTCTCACATTATTCAGAAATAAGCTTGTGGTTTATTTCATCATCAGCTCGCATCATACAAAGCACATTACCGATGACCACATTTTTGTCTCTTCCTATCTTTTTTCTCTCTGAGCCTGCCTCTATCACTCCTTCTCGGCCCATGCTGCCTCAGGATGTGGATGTTAACCAATGAAATGTTGGTGCCAATGTTGCCAAGTGCTTTCTCATTGGTGGTAAAAGTTTGGCGTCTCGAAATGATATAACAAAGAGAATGGTTTAGACTTGTCTTTGATACAAAGCACTCAAATAAAATGTATGCTTTTTATTTTAATGACACAGCTAGTCTCCACAAATCTCCCCAACTTTATCTTTTCTGGTTTTGTCTTGGCTACAGTGGTGATTCTAGTAAGTTGGGGGCCGTAGGCAAAAATGAACTGGGGGGGCCCCTCCAACTACCATTATGTCTGCCAGTGTCCTGACGTATATGTTCTTTTTCACTCTCAGACGGATCATTTCTCTTAATTTTCCTTCAGTGACTTGTATTGATAAAGTATGGTCTTCTCAGGAATATTACATGCGAGTGAGTGCTGCCAGATTGGGGCCCCATTAGAGAGGTTTCCTTCTGTCAATTCTATTGTTTCAGTTTTAAGTTTGTCAGCCCTTTGGGGACCCCTTACTGGACTGGGGCCCCAAGCTGTTGCCTGCCTTGCCTGTTGACCAGCAGCATCATTTAGTGTGTCATGCATTTGTGTTTTATTTATCACTGAGTACAGATTCAGATTCAGAAGGGCGACTCTGTGTCACAGCCTACCAAGCCGTTGAAAGAAGCCAAGACAATAATAAGGGAACAAACAGTCACAGCAGCGTTCAGACGATTACCCCCACATGTCAGTTACAACAACTCAACGGCCAATGAGAAGCCAGAGCTAACAAATCTACAAATACATCAATGAATGGACCTCACAGGTATCCTAAGTGTATATAGTAGCAGTCCAAATCAGAAAGTGTTATCTGGCTCTTCTAACTTCCTCAGTGGTATCTTGTCTGTAATTCAAACTGTTGGACATCACAGTGTCAGGAGAGGCACCAAAATGTCAAAGAATATCATATAAGCTCCAGATTCAGAGGGAAGATTTTGCGCTTTTCGGCTGACGGGAGCGCAGCTAATGCCTCTAAATGAACATTTTTCACATTCTTGCCCTGTCTGGGAGTCTGTCTGTCATCACTTGTTGGCAAATAGTAGAAGTAGCTAGAGTTTCGACACACTGCTTGATCAGACTTGTTTGATTGCAGAACACATGCAAAGGATTTCTCTTGATGTGTGCCTTCTTCTTTATCATTTATTGTTTCTCATTTCAACTTTGAGTGTGTTTAAATGTTTTTGCTCTCACACAGTTTTCTTTACTTGTTAGTGTTGGATAATCAGATGAGTGATTTTCTTCTGTGTTGGCTTTCTATCATCTGGATTTCTCTGATAAATACGAGCAGATTTCTATGAGAATTTGTTGACTGAGAGGTGTTTTTCTGAGTTTTTCACCATTACTATAATCTAAAGTTTGAACTGTTAAACTAGCAGAGATCCAGACTTGATTCAAACAAGACATTGATTTAAGGGGTAGAGGTCGTCTGGTTTTACCAACAATTATTCAAGGCATTAGAAAGGTTGTGCTCCCCGGGTTCTGTCCTGTTCTTAAAAGATGAAGTCTCCCATGGACTCGCACAACTGTGGTCTGATTGGTCAGTATATCACCAGGAAGGAGACTAGTCCGACTTCTCCATTTAAGTGGCACCAAAGACAACTCCCACTTAGAGCGCCCCTTACATGTGTTACTGGCAGTTCTAGTTCAACCCTACTGCACTATTACATTCAGAGATTATTTAGACTGTTAAGAAGGGGGGGGGGAGGTTAATGACTCAGGTGCAGCTGTAATCACCTTGAGCTATAAGATCAGGCAGGGATTCGCCTGGATGTTGCTCACACAGACATGCCCTTTACCCAACCTGAACTCAAAGCAGAACCAGCTTTCACTTCCCACATGACATCCCATCACTGAAACTAACGGTGCTTTTAGGTGATAGGTGAAGATATCAGTCTAAAACAAAGGTTGTGACTTTTTCATGGGCAAGCAAATCGCTCAGTTTCACTTAACTTGGGTAAAAAGTTCAATTTCTTGCTTGTAAGATTCCTCTCGAATATCTGATCTGGTAGTGGTCGCATGAAACCAAAACAAACTTATGTTTGGCAAAACCTCCGCACATACTGTAGCCTCCGCTCTCCTCCAGCGACACACCTCCAACCCCCCTCTCCTCACGTTCACATCGAGGAGTTATCAAATGGTGCTTCAAAAATTAAGCACCATTAAGCTCAAGCGGTGGACAAAATCGCCCTGGATTGTTGTGTTAGCAGGCTAATGTTATCTTGTAGCGTCACATTGCATTTAAATTTACACAGACTGATCGTGGTCTAGAAACATTTACATGACATCCAAATAAGCAGTGAGTATGTTCATCTTCTTTTCTCTAGTCCTTGACCTTGGCCATGTAAACACGATGTAAACACAGCCTGACAACAACACAGCCTGTGGGACTCGGGCTTCCATCAGGTCTGCCCCCTCTGTGGACTTTGTTAACCCTAAAACACTAACTAACAGTTTTACAACACCATCACTAAAGTCAGGTATATTTTACCCGATAGGCTATAATACTCCTGATAAAATATATTTCCCATCAAAATATATTAAAGTACAACAATACATGGAGAATTGAAGTACTCTTCGTTTATTTCCCGTATACAGAGTCTCATAAAACGAAAAAAAAGGTATCATGAGGGGACCATATAAAAAGTCTCTTAAATTAGTTAAAAATTAGGGGAAATTCCCCCCATAAAACATAGCTGGGAAATTGTTTTTCAGTCCACTTGTTCCTGGAACATGTGAGTCTTGTCTGGTGAAGGCTAAGTCTCTCACTGCATGACTGAAATTGAGGTAAATATTTTACCCACTATCACTAACGTCGGGTGAAAATCACACGAACAGGTGTCTGCTGGAAAAAACCAGAGATTGGAGCAGAGAAACACGCCTACCTTCAATGACGTCAAGGGGCAGCATGAAGCTACCCAAAGACCCTCGCAAATCAGACAGCAGCAACACTTAACCACAATCGTGGTCACTTAACCCAACGTTGGTTAAGTCCTGCCTCAAAAAGTATTTTTAAATGTTAGCATTTGAGTCCTGTGGCCCTGCTTTCAGGTTTTCTTTAGTATTATTTCTTTATTCTTATAAATGTTGTAAACTCCTGAATGTTGTTTCTTTAATGCAGCTGCTGTTGTTTTTAAATGTGCTTCATAAGAACGTTTGACTTGACGTGTAAAGCTTCACATGCAACATAGAAGATAGATATTACTTCATTTGGCTCCATTACCCCATATGATACGTCAATTTTGCACCTCCCATCCTCAATAAAGCCACAGTATGTTTCAAAAAGCGATGACACCCTTCAGACCACAAAGTTCTCATTTCCTGCTTTCAGAGTGCAGAAACTTGTGTCACTTCTTGTCAGCCAGAGACATAAAGGTGCATTTTTAACCGGGGGTGTTCTCATGGGTGATGTGAAAATGTCATGTAGAAGTGGGGTTCTTTCACTCTTAAATACAGAAATGATTCTACAGATATATATTTACAGCATGTCTTCATTGCTATATAAATAAAGGATACCTGTTTGTGATGTTCTTCCACCAGGTTTGAGAAGGGACGTATCTACACCTACATTGGAGAAGTAGTCGTCTCTGTGAACCCGTACACTCAGATGGACATTTACGGTAAAGACACCATCGATGCATACCGGGGTCGGGAGCTGTATGAAAACCCTCCTCACCTGTACGCTGTGTCTGATGCTGCATACAAAGCCATGAAGAGACGAGCCAAAGACACCTGCATCGTCATATCAGGTCTCTTCCCTTTTTCACACTCTAACATATCCTCCATCCTGCTCAACATGTGAAAGGCTACTTTCCAAACTTTACATTAAAACCTGATTTAAACTTTAATCTATGGTTTGTGCACAAAGAGTCCAAATGGCTTTATGACACTAGACATGTGGCTAAAGGAAAGAAACATGCAAAACGTTTCCTTTTCTTATATATCTGAATTGCAATTGGAAGATTTGGCCAGAGGATGGCGCCAGAGGAAAAGCTATCATTGTAGATGAGTTGAATTATGTTCAATCCAAAAAGCAGAACACTTTAAGTAACCAATTTAATTTTGGCTTTAAATTAACACAAGGGGGAGGGGTTACTGCCCTTTGTGATGTCATGAAGGAAAACCTCCAAACGGCCTGTTTGATACACATTTTCTGAAAAGTGGAGCAGGAAGAAGACGGAGAGGATGGACTTCACTTATTTTTGGGGGGTCTGTAGACGGACTAGGGACACATATAAGTGTTAGAAAAACATGGTGAATAATATGTGACCTTTAAGTGAAAGGTCATGTTATACTGCGAATACAAATCTGCATTTTAACAAAAAAAACGTGACATTTATTAAAGGCTTCAGGTGCTGTTGGCTCATTAGAAACAAAGAGTAATATGAACTACAGAGTTCCTGAGCTGCTCATCAGTGTGTTGTTTTGTGTTTCAGGGGAGAGCGGAGCAGGAAAAACAGAAGCTAGTAAATTTATCATGCAGTACATCGCTGCCATCACAAACCCAAGCCAGAGGGCGGAGGTTGAGAGGTGAGTGGACTTTACAACACCTTCTTTTTCACTCTGAGAGGATGCATCAAGTCAGTTATATAAACTCATCTGTAGATCCAGATGTTGTTTCAGTCTGAAATCAAAGACTGATGGATTATGTGATCAAAGAATATGATGTTACGTGAACTCCATTTCCACCTCTCTAATGGCCGCTTGTCACATGTTTCCATTAATGATCGCCCTGATGTGATAAATCAAGCGTGAAGAACGTGCTGCTCAAGTCCAACTGTGTGCTGGAGGCCTTTGGGAACGCCAAGACGAATCGCAACGACAACTCCAGCCGCTTCGGCAAGTACATGGACATCAACTTCAACTTCAACGGCGATCCCACCGGAGGACACATCAACAACTACCTGCTGGAGAAGGTGAGGGAGACGGGGGGCAGGGTGGTGGAGAACCTACCGACACAGTGTTCCCAGCCCCTGTAGGAAAGTACAGAAACAAAGTTTAGCTCATTAGTCTTAAAATGACGTCTTTTCCTCCCGAACATGAATGTTTCATGAGGTGATGACAAAGAGGTGTGAGAGAACATCCATGAATAGACGTGTCGGTGAGGCCGGTGCTGCTCCTCCTTCATGCTCGTTAATGAACGGCCACCTGGGGGAACCTAATGCTGCTGTATTTATCCACTCTGTTAAACTACCGTCTGGCACACAGAGCTGGTGTGAATGACGGAGCTGTGATTCATTTTGAGAGGGCAGCGTGAACCACATGAAAGAGCAGCTCAAACAGGTGGTTATCAGTTTGATTTAAAGTTCAGACTACAACCCATAAAACCTACATATTCTACCTAAACATGTTAGGTATTACTAGCCGGGATTGTCTGTTTTTGACTGCATGATAAGACATTTTTTGTGCTGTTACTTATTCTATATCTGCTCTTCATTTCTGTACGACATTATATATAGGGGCATACTGGAGATATTTGGTTTGGTAATAAGGAAGGTTAAATCAATGAACCTGTCCAGTTTTAGATAAGCGTTAAGTAGGGAGTTTGATTTGGAGAAGTTGGAAAAGAATGATGGTTAAGGAGGCAGACATTCATAAAGACATGCTCTTGATAGATATATATATTATTTACTGAAGGGAAGTTCAGTTTTCTGAGCAGAGGAACAGATGCTTTATTATGGTTCAAGAATTTCCAGTGTATGAAGTTTGTGAAGATAGCTCAGGGTCCGATGTTCACAGACATGTAAAGATTTTGTAAATCAGCTGTTGATTAAATGAATAACTTCACCTTCAGACTTTTCAAAGAGAGATGTGAGGAAGGTTAATGTTCAGGTTAGTTGCAAAAGAAAGTGGAAAAAGTAAGAAAAGACAGATCAGGATGATTTAAAAAAAAAAAAAGATCTTCTTGGCTCTATTCAGACGGCCTGTTAAGGTGTGATATTTACGTCCCTGTGATGTCTTGCCTTCAGTGTGAATGTCACAGAAGCACACTGTGCTGCTGAAGCGATCCCCCTCTCTGGGCTGCGTTTGGAGGAAGTAACAGAGGCATTACAGGGGCGAGGCAGGATCAGTGACACAGTGCTGTGTGTGTGCATGCCCTAGTGTTTGTGTGTGTGGAGCTCCTGCTGTTTCTGTACATGTTGGGCTTCCACAATGCCTTAACACAATGTGAATTCACACACTGGGGCACCAACATTACGCCTAATTAAGAATCAATATGAACAAAGACGGAATGACGACCAAGCTTAGTTACAGCGCTTTTGCAGAAACGCACTCTGAGAAGGGCTGTGGAAAGCGTTGGTCATCATAGAACAGCTGTATGACAGGCTCTGTGTGATGTTTGGATTTAATATGACGCTCTGCTCTCCTGTTCAAGTCCAGGGTGGTCCAGCAGCAAGACGGGGAGAGGAACTTCCACTCATTTTACCAGGTAAACTCCGACCTCTGAACCACCACTTCAGACGTGTCCACTGAGTGATATCACTACACTGGATCTAAACCTGAGTGTGTGTTATGTGCTCTGCAGTTGCTGCGTGGCGGCTCAGATGAGTTGTTGGAATCGCTTCACCTGCAGAATGATCCGGCTGTTTACACATATACAAGAGAGGGAGCTGTAACCACTGTGAGTTATGACACCAAACAACCTGCATTGTACACACAATTCCTGATTTGTTTTTGACATTTGCACACTGTCCTTTTCTCGAAGACCTCCAACAATGATCGCTCGAGCCACAAAGCAGTGATGAGCGCGCTGGGTGTGATCGGCTTCTCAAAGGAGGAGATCAACTCCATTTATCAGATCCTGGCCTCCATTCTGCTGCTGGTGAGCGAAAGCATGGGTTGTTAAAAATCTAGAAAAAGAAAGAAATGAATAGAAAGTGTGGAAAGTATCATTTTTATGTATGGTTTGTATGGTTTGATCATGGCTCTGTTATGAAGTGCAGTTTTGTGTCTTTCAGGGTAATTTGCAGTTCGAGAGTGACGGTGAGATCGTTCAGATCGTGGGACTTGAGGCCGTCGAACACATCTCTGAATTGACCGAAACGGACTCGGAAAGCGTCAGCAAGAGCCTGCTGTACCGCACTGTGGCCACCGGGGGCGGCGAGGTCATCGAGAAGGGACACACGGAGCACGAGGCGAGCTTCGGACGAGACGCTTTCGTCAAGGTGCTGCTGCTTACCTTTTGTCTGTTTGCCAATCACACATCAAACTGAATTTCCTTTTGAAAAAATATCTACTCAGGATAAAGATTTAAGCTTCATACAGATGAGTAGTCGTACAGCTCTGCGCAGGGTAATAGTATTATGTAAACATCTTCTCAGTGACTTGTTTGCTTTGATCTCATTTACACACTTGTCACATCGTTTTTTATCGCTGGCTCACTCTCTTATTTCCTCGCTGCAGGCTCTATATGAGAGACTTTTTGGTTGGATCGTAGGCCGAATCAACAGTGTCATAGAAGTAAAGGACTACAACCCAGTGCTTCATGGGAAGAACACAGTCATTGGCGTGCTGGACATCTACGGCTTTGAGATCTTTGACAACAACAGGTGGGGGTCGCCGTGTTACAAACCTGCTGTATTCTTCTTTATGAACATGTAAAGGAATGAGTCACTGTTGGATGACGCTCGCTCATGTTCTCGCTCCTCTTGTCAGTTTCGAACAGTTCTGCATCAACTACTGCAACGAGAAGCTGCAGCAGCTCTTCATCGAGGTCATCCTCAGACAGGAACAAGACGAGTACCAGAGAGAGGGCATCACCTGGCAACATGTGAGAAACACACACACAAATGATTACACATGACTGTGAGAGATGCTGTGGTACATAAAAGTTCGGGCCCGACTGATATGGGATTTTGGGGGCCGATACTTTTATCTTTTATACTTTTAAATATTATTCTTCCTCTGTCTTTTAAAAAAAAGTTTCCCATAAAAAGTTATTTGAGGTTAAAACATCTGGTGCAGCTGTGACACAAAGCAGAAAGTTTGTTAGTGCAGTGATACTACTACACCCATACATGCTACATACAGGCTACATACTGTACATACTGTACATGCTACATAATGTACATGCTACATACAGGCTACATACTGCTACATACTGTACAAACTGTACATGCTACATACATGCTACATACATGCTACATACTGTACAAACTGTACATGCTACATACATGCTACATACATGCTACATACTGTACATACTGTACATGCTACATACAGGCTACATACTGTACATACTGTACATGCTACATACATGCTACATATATGCTACATACTGTACATACTGTATATGCTATATACAGGCTACATACTGTACATGCTACATACATGCTACATACATGCTACATACAGGCTACATACTGTACATACTGTACATGCTACATACATGCTACATACAGGCTACATACTGTACATACTGTACATGCTACATACATGCTACATACAGGCTACATACTGTACATACTGTACATGCTACATACTGTACATACTGTACATGCTACATACTGTACATACTGTACATACTGTACATGCTACATACTGTACATGCTACATACATGCTACATACTGTACATACTGTACATACTGTACATGCTACATACATGCTACATACTGTACATACTGTACATGCTACATACATGCTACATACATGCTACATACTGTACATACTGTACATGCTACATACATGCTACATACATGCTACATACATGCTACATACTGTACATGCTACATACATGCTACATACTGTACATGCTACATACATGCTACATACTGTACATACTGTACATTCTACATACTGTACATGCTACATACATGCTACATACATGCTACATACTGTACATACTGTACATGCTACATACATGCTACATAATGTACATGTTACATGCTACATACATGCTATATATGTGCTACATACATGCTACATACTGTACATACTGTGCATGCTACATACTGTGCATGCTACATACACACACACTAAGTGCATCTCTAATGTGGTCATGTTTCCTTCTTAATTTAAAGTATTTAATTTATTTAAATGTCTACTTGACTTTTTTGTTGTTGTTGTTGGGATTCTTTTTTTTTTTTTTTTTTACTTACGCTGAAAACAAACGGCCTCCGGGGAGGACGCATCTGAACCCAGAGGAGCATTAAATTATGTTTCTTTGAGTGGTGATGTAATTGGAGTTTAGTTGTGCTGGTTTTGGCTCTGATATTTTCTAGCAGAAAATAAAACCCCATCCAGCCTTGTTACAAACTTTCTTGCACTAAAGCCTTACATAGAACATACTTCCAAACTAGAGTCTTAATCCATATTTGATCAGCACTGCTGCCTAGTTTAAGAGTTTGATCTGACATCCCTGGTGCAGAAAGTAGAGGTTGAAACGCCTTTATGCAAATTCAGAACAGTTTATTTAAAGTGTGCTTCCAGCAGCAGATAATAGGATTCCCCGCTTCACATGATCACAGCCACATGGTTTTCTTCTCCTTTACATTTTCCCCCATGTTCCCAAAATCCTTCAAACTCCGTCTTACTGTAAATTTAGGAAATACAAGGTGACATGTCGGACTTTGAGTAAGTAATAAATCGAATGGTTCATGTTAGCTAGCTAGTTTGATTCCAATTGATGATTGAATAAATGAGAATGAATTGTACTAAAGGTGAGTAAAGCTTTTATACATTTCCTCCTCCTTGAACAACGTTTCTACCTGAGTCACATCAGAAAGATGTTCCTTAGCGATGATGTTTGCTTTTAACAAGAAAAACAACAACTCCCATGACCCCATGCTGCTTCACAACATCATCAAACTATGTCTTCTGATGTGTTTGAGATTCCCCTGGTGGCCGAAAAGTGTCATAACGTGCATTTGTCAATCTTAATATTTCTTCACAGATTGATTACTTCAACAACCAGATCATCGTGGATCTTGTGGAGCAGCCCCACAAAGGCATCATCTCCATTCTGGATGAAGCTTGCCTCTCCGTCGGTAAAGTCACCGACACAGTCTGCCTGGACAGCATGGACATCAAACTGGCCCAGCACCCCCACTATACCTCCCGCAAGGTGAGACCAGACCACAGCACCCACCACCAGGGTTCTTCTCTGCCTCTTATATAAAGAAAACCTTTTTTTTAAAACACAAAAACCTTTTTAAACTTTAAAAAGGGATCCCTAAAGTTGTGGTCATAACTTCCTTAACGCTGGTATCTGTGGAATCAGAAAAACATATAAGCAGGAAATCGGTGAAGTCTGAAGCACTGGGCTGTCGTCGCTGAAGAAACTTTCTGAGAAATATTTTATGCATAAAGTTCACAGAGCTGACATGAATTCCCTTGAAAAATAAATCAGTTCTAAACGGCTGGGACTCGACTGGAAAAGCCATTTAAAGGCTGTCAGATGTTTCCACACGAGTCACTTTTGAAACACAGCTGAGTTATGTGTTGTGATGATCACGACGGAGACGTCCACGGTCAGGCCTCAGAATATTTTGAAGAACTCATTCACCTGTATTCACCAACCTGTTCTCTCAGGTCGAACACCCTACACCTGCTGTCCGTCCCACACACACATTTTAAGACTCGTGATCTTTTGAGTCTTTTAAAAAGCAGCTAAAAGTGTCGATGTTTCGACAGCCCTACAGGTAATCATGTCCACCGAGTCTACCTACTGATCTATGTTTTTCTGTGCCAATTATTGCTCCTGGTAAGAGAAGGATTTCAGAATGTCGGTCCATGAAGTACTTGTTTGTTCCTATTTTTATGTATGTTGTTATGTTGATGTAAAGCACTTTGTGACCGTTCTCTATGAAAAGAGCGATATAAATAAACTTAACTTTACTTACTTACCTACAAACAGGCGCCCAAAAATCTATGAGGTCATTACAGTGGCGGTTCGAGACCACTTTTACTGAGGGGGCCAAACGCGGGCCAGTTGTTTTGTCAGAGGGGAACATTAAACCCAGGTGAAAAATAGACAAAGATGATCGCTTTAAAAAATATAATATTTATTATGCCAAATAATAGCACACATCATTAAATACCATGATTTATATTTGTTTCAGTAACAGTATTTAATGCTAGATTGTGAGTCCAGCTGTTGAGTCAAATACTGTGTATGTTCACTCCTTTTGGAGGGGTGGCCACGGGGGGGCCAAGCTCAGTGTTACAGGGACACTGGCCCCTGTTGGCCCCTGCCTAGAACCGCCCGTGGGTCATACAACTAAAAAAAAAAAACTGTAGATCTCATGTTTTAGCATCAAATAGTTACTAAAGATTCATACGTTTGTTTGATTTTTAACCTTAAATGAACGGGAAATATAAAAGAGTGTTGTCTGTTGTCTGTGTTGTCATTTTTCCAACTTGCTGTATTAAAGGTTAAATGTTGTGTTGCAGTCAGTAGAGGGCAGAGTTTCTCAAAGTCCTCATAAGATTCTTTTCAGACAATCAGTTTATCTTGAATCAGTCCTCTGCACACTGTTGAAGTTTCTAACACACATTTAATGACAGAATAGTGTTGTGTGTGTTTTTCACGGCTGGCTCTTCACTCGTCGTTGTCCTCTTCTCATTTTCAGCTCAGCCCAACAGACAAAACCATGGACTTCCAGAAACACTTCCGTATCCGCCACTATGCTGGAGACGTCACGTGAGTCGTTCACACCTTTTTACGCTCTATTGAAAGCAGCAGGATGTTGTGCAGAGATGTTAGTGCAAGCTCTATAATCCACAGCAAGAGTTTTAAAGTTACAGAATAAAAGATCGAATGTCTCACATTTACAATTGTGCAGTTCAGTGTCTAAACACACCGTGTACCAAATCAACACTCCCTTATTGATCAGGTGTGCGTTGCTCTGGTTTGCAGATGAAATAGAAAATGTGGTGACTAATTATTATGCCAGGTGTTCCATGAACACGTGAAGCACACGCCTTGTTAACGTTGTACAGTCCACTCATGGAAAAGCGTGAATATCGTCCTCAGCTGCGAACTGCGCATCAAACACATTCATTAATCTGCACAGGCAGCCGTATGGACACCATCGTGTTTGACACATGTGGCATTATGGAGGCAGGGAGAGCAAACAACCTCATCTGCGTCGATGTAATTCCCACCTGTGTAGATGTATAAATTCATAGAATCACACAACACAACATGTGCCATATCGCAGCTTTGATGAGTAACATTTGATTTCTTATACCTCATTTCCTGGTGCTATCTGGTACATACATTCACTGCACATGGAAGAATTGTATTTAGTTTGATGTGTTGCAATAAATCCCGAACAGAAAATTTACTTTAAAGGTCACATATTATTCAAAATACACTTCACCATGTTTTTCTAACTCTAATGTGTCTCTAGTCTGTCTACAAACCCCCCCAATGATGAGAAAAGTCCATCCTCTCCGTCTTTTCCCTGCTCCACTTTTCAGAAAATGTGTTCCCAAACAGGCCGTTTGGAGATTTTCCCTTTGTGACATCACAAAGGGCAGTAACCCCTCCCCCAGGTGGGTGTCACTCCCACAGCTAGGTGTTTGTTCTGCCCTCTGAGTCTGCCTTCTAACCGTCAACAATCGGGCATGAAAGCCTGAAAGCCTGAGCCACCCAAGCCCTTCCAGAGAGGGGGCGTGGTCAGACACAGCTCATTTACATATTTAAAGGCACAGACACAGAAACAGCCTGTTCTGAGCAGGGCTGAAATAGAGGGGTTTATAGATATGATCAAATACAGGATCAGAGTGGATTTAGAACAAGAAACTTCACAGACATGTTTTTGGGAGCTCTGAGACTTATTTAAACTAGTTGAAAAGGAGAATATGTGACCTTTAAGAAACAAAATGTGATCGTTTTCATAGGGGAGATATAATGATTTTAGATTAGCATAAGTTAGCTCAAATGGTTCCAGAAACAGCAGGAAACAATGTTGCGTTCGGATGTTTACGCTTTAAATGTTTTTTTAAATGTGTCTCAAGATCCTTTTAGTATTTTTTTTTGCAAGTAGTCTCAGCACAGTCTGATATGAGTGAGTAAATATTGTTGATGAGCAAAATGGTCCTTAGAGTCAAACTCAAAAGATTTGAAACCATTTTCTGAGGTCAATCATATCATATATAAGATTTCACACTATAAAATGTCCTTTTTTTCTATCAGGGCTTTTTATTTGATTCTAAAAGTACATTAATTGTCATCGATGTGAGTGTCTGTTTGGTTTATGATTCTCAGAGTAAAGATGAGTTCGCTCAGTTTGCTCGTCCTTCGCTGCTCCACTTCCCTAATGTGTTCACTGGATTTAAACGTCACAGTGGGCAGATGAGGCCCCCGGCCAGCAGTCACCCGTCATGGCTTCAGTTCCATAAGATCCCCCCCCACCCTGCTCACGTGTACCGCCCTCAATCTAGAGAGGGGAAGGATGTTAATATGTCAAGGGAATGCAGCCAGCTGATGAAACTATTTTGGCTCTGTCAGATGAAGCGGCAGCAGTAATCAAACAGAAACAGAGGAGGGTTTATTGAGTTTCTGTGACTCGGGGAAATCCAGGCTAACACAATGTTAAACACAGACCAAAACACAGATTCATTTGATCCTTCTCTGAAGCTAACAGACAACCAGTGCACTGTTTTCTCACTAACCGCCCTGCCCTCCTCAACACTCAGGGGTGGAGGAAGTATTCAGATATTTTACTGAAGTAAGGTACAAAAAACACGCTGATTTAAAATACTCTAATACAAGCAAAAGTCATGCACAGGAATTATACTCTGATAAAAGTATGTGAGTTTGATCAGGAAATGTACTTTAAGGAGCAAAAATTAATGGAAATTGTGCAGAAAAATACCTCGGAGTGAATGTTGCTTTTTATTTTATTATTAGAAGATTATTACTGATGCCTTCAGTTGGATCAATCTGCTGATTATTCTATTTTAACAATCTGTCGGGCCCGTTTTCTACAATAAAATAACTAAGGGTGCATCTGAGATTAAAGGGGGTGCAGCTTGACCAGCAACAGCAATGAAAAACAGCGTATAGGTGCTGTGGATCCATCACCAGGTCCCCACTGAACAGACAGGACACGTGCACACGTCATGACCATCAGATCATAGATGTAATGAACACTGTCATTATTTCTTTTGCATCCATTCAATTACAGGTGCAGAAATTTAAAATGAGGGTACCATACATCATGTTGCACCCTCGTAGAACCGGGACTGCAATATATATATTTTTTATTTGGACTGAATAGTGATGAATTCACGATATTATAACCCAAACCAAAAAACAAAAGTGACACCTCCAAGTGTAATTTTTTAAAGATTTCTGTTGCCCGATTAGTGATCGATATGTAATTGTAGACAGACATCGGTATGATTTGATTCAAATACGTAAGCGTCTTCAAAAAAGAGGCTGAAGCCAACACAGCTGCAGTGATTCATTCATTTTCCACCAATAAATGGACAGGGGTTTATTGAGAAATAATTGCAATAGAGTGGTATTGAAAAGTTAGTCAGAATATTGTTTATAGTCTTTTAAATGTAGCTGGTTTCTGTGGGCAACGGGAAATTACTGCACAGTTTGGTTATCAGTGATTTATAAGGGTCGAAGTCAAAGTTCTCGCCTTCCAGCTCTTACTTTAACTACTTTATTACAATAAAGTGACATGTTGAATGTCACTAGTGGACATTTAAACCCTCCTCAGACATTTTACACACCACACCACTCATTAGTTTTGCCGAAATTAATCAACAGATGACTTAGCGAGGGGCTGTGGGTTGCAGCAGTACGCTGCACCTCTGGCGGCGCGAACACGGCGGCTGGATAAGAGCATGTGTGGCAGACCTGCAGAGGTACTGACAGATGGCCGTGCGTGTCTCTGTCACCCTACCTCAGCTCGTCTCTGAGCCTCGTCTGGGTCTCTCCAGCTGAGCTGTCAGACTTCGTACATTACTTCCTGCTGACACTGACCCCCCCCCATCACCCCCACCCCCCCTTCCCCTGTCACATCCCACCTCATCTGAGTCAATCCTCACTCTGGCTAAATATACCCTCGCCTCACCGAGCTGCCACTATCACAAGCTTTGACCTACTTCGCTCCCTCCACCTCCTCCCTTTTTTCTTCATCTCTTTCCTCATCCTTTTTTTGTTTTTCCTTTCTTTTGTTCTGCAACCCTCACCTGGTTTTCTTTGTCATCCACTTTTTAATTCCCCGTTGCATTGTTCAGCTTGCACATGCAGCACTTTGAGCAGCCGTAAGATACATCATACTCCCTTACTGCACAACTTTCTACTGCAGGATGTGGTTGTCGCCCGGCTCTCTCACAGTGTGTGTTTTCCCTTTAACCTCGCACAACACAGCCCTGTCCTTGCACCAGCCTTCACCTTCATACTTAAATATACTTTCCTCTTCATCATCCCCCCTTGTCTCTGGAGAGCTGCTGTCGTTATCTCTGCATGTCCTCTCCCGTCCCAGCACTCTCCTGTCCTGTCCTGTCCTTGTGAATGACTGTTGTTGCTTGTTATTGTGTGTTCTGACCGCTCTTCTATTTCCATTTCACACTCCGTGTCTCTCCTCGCCGAGCTTTTCCGGGGATCTGGCCAGGTGGGTTTTTTTTTTTTTTTTTGCAATGCCCGAGAGCCATAGGGACACATCTGTCAAAGCCGGCCTCCGCTTTCTTTGCCTCCAGATGTGACAGCCGGGACACAAACAGGGCCATGCAGACGACATGTGACACGCTGCATGTTTGTGGTTTTGTTTGTATTTGTGAGTTTGTTGGAGAGGGAGGCGTGCAGGGAGAATATTCAGAGGAGAAGTCTCTGTGGGAGTAGAGTCTGAGCTACTGCAGTGGTGGAAAGTGACTCTGTATATTTGGCCAAGGTTTTTAAGCTGCCGTTTTTACTTTTAACTTTATACTTCTCTAGATTTTTTTGGGGACATTTTTGTCCTTGTGGAAAGAAAAGCTTAAGAGCGACAGGAAATGTTGGGAGGAGAGAGTTGGGGATGATATGCAGCAAAGGGCCGAGGTCGGAGTCGAACCTACGGATGCTGCTAAGAGTAGTACAGCCTCTGTACACGGGACGTGCAACATATCTGGCGTCCCTATAGTCTAGATTTCATGTTACCATTTATATCTCTATCAAAAAGTGATTTCCAATTTAAACTTCACACATGGTTTGCTATTGCATCAGCATTAAATATTGGCTTCTGTACAAATAGTTAGTGTTGGCTACTAAGTCGTGTCATGCTAAATGCTCTGAATGTTAAAAGTTAAACTAGACGCCATGAGAACTGGATGTTTGACAGGTGGGGGAATTCCAGGGTAGCTCACAATGCAAGACAGAAATCTGTATTTGAGCACCAGATTCTTTTTAAATGAAAATATTGATATTTTGCTCCAGAGATTTCATGATCAATCAGGAGAGTCAGGATGAGAATGGATATTTTGTAGACCCCTCTTCGTCTCCTTATAATGAAACTAGTTTACTAGCCAATCATAAAATAGACTAAGAGACTCCAGACTAAATGTTTTTGTGACTTTGTTTCACGATCAAAGGCAAGTTAGCGCCTGTAGGAGGTCAAAAATAACTTTAATAATTCTGATTTAAAGCTGATTTTTGACCAAACTCCCAACACTTTGAGTTTTCTGTGGTCTGTGAGTGCTGGTCTCCTAGATAATAAATCTCTGTCATGAACTAACTCTATTTAAAGTAGTCAAGAACCTTTACCAGCCATGACAGCAAAGACTGCATCTGCATTTCTGTATCAGCGTTATCTCTAATAATGTAACACATCCATTAGCCTTCTCAGTGTCCCTCATGCTGCACAGTGAGGACTTTTACTTTTGACGTTCCGAGGACATTTCACCTGATAATTCCTGAATATTTAGTCGGATTTTGAATTGCATTTTATTAAGCGAAGCATCCACAGTGTGCAGGTTGATATTACATTATGAGGGAGTCAGTAGAGGTTTATTTGAGGCAACACTTACACCGCAGCAGGCTCTTTACCCCGGAGCTGGACGGCTTATGTAACGGAGCCTCGCAGAGCGCCCGTGACCTCCCACTGATGCCTCTCTGAAAACCAAACCCAGCCAATTTGAATAAATGCAGACCGCTCCGTTTTGTAGACATTTTCATTTCCCCAAAACGTGAGCCGTGGGGGGAACTGGACCGTGTTCCTAATTTGTAAGTGGACTAAGTGGTGTGACTGTTGTTCCTGATCCTCGAGCCTGAGGACTTTGAATCACTCGGGGAAGACAATGGAGTCAGTTACAGAAATGTTAGTGACCCTTGCAGCCATTTAAACTCTGTTACTCTCTGACTTTGGTGTTTTTTTAAAACATCCCTGACAATGCTTTCTACTCCCAGTGCTACTATTGTCATCCCTTTGCTCTTGATCGCCCTCACTTTCTCTCTCTCTGTTACAGATATTCCGTTGAGGGGTTCTTGGACAAAAACAAGGACATGCTTTTCCAGGATTTCAAGCGTCTCATGTACAACAGGTGCCACTCACAGTCTCTCAACAGCATGATAGCTTTGACCGTTTAACAACTGGGTGAAGTGTAAAAAAAAAAAGAATCTTCTTTCACCCTGTTTGCATTTTTCTCTTTTCATGCTCGCCTACTTAATAATTCCCTTTCATTGCTCTTTTTCGCTCGCTCGCTCCTCTCTCTGTTGAAGTGCCAACCCGGTCCTGAAGGAGATGTGGCCAGATGGTCAGCTGAGCATCACCGAGGTCACCAAGAGGCCTCTGACCGCCGCCACCCTCTTCAAGAACTCCATCGTGGCCCTCGTCGACAAACTGGCCTGCAAGGTTTGCAATTCAGTTTGAGTTCGACTTCCTCTTCCTGTCTCTTTAACCTTTGTAGGAAGTTGTTAAGTGCAAAGTGGCGCCAGGTAAAACAGATTCTGGCTTCTGCTAATGATGGGTTTAAGCTTCTCTACAGGCGTCCAGCAGGGACATGTATAAGTACCGGTGTGTCCTTTCTTGTATAGCAGATATTGTGGGGTTGCTTGTCCTCATCCTGTCGGCCTTGTAAAGCTGGGTGGGTGATGAGAAGGGAAGGTGATGGCGGACCACAAAATGTGCTGCTCACCTCTCCTGGCCTCATCTCACTGTCTGAAGTCTGACATTTCCTGCTGTTATTTTGGGACGGCCTGCTGTCAGGTTGCTGTAACATCTCCTCTCGGTGTGGCTGAGGTAAAGTTAAAGGAACCCCCCCACCCCCCCCCTGGCATTTCCCCCCCCCCTTCATGTCACGTTGAAAGAGCGGATGTCTGACACACCTGTGCCCAGTCTGCCCCCCCATCATCTGCTCCCAGGCCCCCCTCTACCTGACTCCTTTTTTTAATGTCCGCTGAGCTGAGTTGAAATTGGGGGCACACATGCACATGCATCATTGATATGATGAACGACAGCGTGGGCTATGAACTCAGGAGAATGCTAACTCAGTTCCTTCTTGTTCATCTTTCATGAGAAGAGAGTGAAATACAAAAACAAGTGTCTCCTATAGGAAAGAGGAGATCGGGTCCCTCAGAGATCCCTGTCAAGGCTCAGACCAGGGGCGTGTCCAGACTTTTTGGACTGGGGGGGTTGTGATGTGCACACAAACAAATACATATAAATAATTTACCCTTTTCTAACCTCATCAATAATATCTACTTCATAACACAAGATAACGGCAACATTAGCTTCTTTTTTTAATGACACAAAAAGAAGATTTATGTTCAAATTTGAAGAACTTTAATATGTGCATGCAAACTCCTGCACACTGTGAACCTTGCAATGTTTTGGTCCCTCCACATTGCCAGTTAGTTCATTGCTAGTAAGACAGAGGGCATCATTTTCTTATGCACCTGTCTCATGAAACAGACAGGTGCAAGAAGAACACAGTTAGCTTTTTAGTCACGCATTTTAAGGTGTTTTGAGAGTGAAGCGATGTAAACTTTTGTTACTGTACAGGTGTAGTAGCTGGTGGGTGAGCAGCAGGAGTGCTAGTTAGTCCATTTCTTAGTTTTGAAATGTTGTTGTCTTTGTGTTTGGCCAGAGTCTACCTCAGTGCATATGGAGGAATCAGTCTAAAGAGCCTTAAATATTCCCCCAGTCAGTCACTTAATATATCCCTTCATGACAAATATCACCTTATCAAACATTACCAACACTGCTGATCAATTCCTTTCACCTGTGGTATCATCTAAACCCCTCCTTCCTCCTTGTTTCAGCAAGTTTTTATCTACAATTTAAAGTACAAAGACAAATAAATGTACTTGATTGACATGTAAAGAAAACTATAAAAGACTCCCTCTGACAGGGCTTTGGGGATGGCACCTGGGGTGGCCACTCAGATTTCTAGAGGGGTCCCATGCCACCCCTGGCCATCCATCTGGACACGCCCCTGGTTCGGACGTCCAGCAGTTATTTTACATTTGAGGATTTTGTGGTGTTAAAAAATGAAAACATGCTGTTAAATGTGCAGTGAATAAGTAGACGTGGGCTCAGGCTCAGCTGCTCACTGTAGAGATATTAAGGTCAGTAGACTCAGTTGGCCCCGTTCTGCAGCTCGTCTCAAAGGGTAGTGTAGATTATTTACTTGCACAGTGATGAACACAGCAGTGATTCAAATCATGATGGAAAAAATGCAAAAAAAATGAATGAATACGATTTTGTGCAGGGGAGAAAACAAGAGTGTTATAAAATATATTATCCCCAATATACAAACCCTAAGTTGGAATTGTGCAACACTCAGTTACTGATATGGTAGTAGGATTACAGTCAGTGAAGGTTCAGAGCATCCATTCTTAATCTTAATCTGTTCTGCCGATTTAATACATATTTCTGCTGTAAGTTCATTCACATGCAGGTGACAGTGATGATGTTTTAAGGTCAGCATTCCTTCTGATCTCTCACTCAGCCCAACAGGAATGAACCGTTCTCTGTTGTGTCTTCCCTCTCAGGAGCCGTACTATGTGCGCTGCATAAAGCCCAACGAGATGAAGTCCCCCGTGCTGTTCGACGACGCCCGCTGCCAGCACCAGGTGGCCTACCTCGGCTTGATGGAGAACGTGATGGTGCGCAGGGCGGGCTTCGCCTACAGGCAGCCTTACCTCCGCTTCCTGCAGCGGTGAGAGAACATGATGTGCTTTATGGAGCAAGACTTGTTCAGTGTTTCCCCTTTTCTCTGTGAGGAAGTGGAGGAGAAAGTGTCTTTGTACTAGGAGTTCAGTGGTAACACCTGGAGTGTGAAATATACCAAACTATCGCTGAACTCCTTCAGGTGTCATGATGACATTTGACTCAAAACTACATTTTAAAAGTCAACATGATACTTTTTAAAAACCAGTTTCAAAGTTTGCTTAAAAGTGTACAACAGTGATGCATCAGTTTCTCCTTTAAACCTTTAAAGAACAGAGAGACAAGAAACTTGATGCTTTTTTTCTTTTAGAGTTAATTTCATTTGGTTTCTTTTAGTTGTTTTCAGGGATGGTTGAGCGAAAAATACAGAATTCTAAAAGTGTGCTATTTTGATAAAATGATGCTGCAGAGTTCTCCTGGTTCAAAGCCCCCCTAAGTGGGTCAAAACTCTGGGTACTAAACTTTCTGTAATGAACCTCGATAGCTGATTTATTCAAACATCTGCCTGCAAACCTCGACATCCTTAACATGATTATAAAACAGATATTTACAGTTTTCTTTTTTATCACTTACGCCATGTGCTGATTGTCACCTGTACGCTGATGGAGGCTGTTCGCTCCTGGAAAAAAACAATGTGGGTGACTCATTCTGCGTCATGGTGGCAGTATGAGTCATATGGTACAGAAGACCTCTGATCTATAACACAAGCAGGTCGTCGTCTCTGTGTTTCTCTATTGGCTTCTGTAAACCACAATCAAACCCCTCCAGAGTTTTCGGTTTTTAAAGGAAACATGCAAAGTTTGAGTTCTTCACATGGCAACTTTATTAATCATCACTATGTACCCAGTTTGTTGTGTAGGATGTATTTTCTCTTACGATTGTCAGACAAATAACTTCAACGTTAAAAATAGCTGCAGTGCCCTTTAAATGGAAGTAACAAGAGTCATTCCACTTTTACATCCACAGAGAGAAATACTCGCCCTTTTCACGGCGCAAATCTGCACAACACAGTAAAGAACCTCTGCTGTCATTTCTCCTTAAGGGGGCACTCACACTAGACTCAGTTGCATGCTGGGGCACGGTGTGGATTGCCAAGTGCAGGGATGGGCAACATTCATTTAATTCTCACTGCCAGAGGGCCAAATTGTAGGGTACAAAAAAACGATTGCAGTCAATTATGTCTCAAATTTAACTCAACATATACCAGTGATCAAATGTTTTTCATGGACATATTTCTGGTTGTCATGATTTCATGGCAGATTTTGTCATGTTTTGATATGTAAAAATTGACCTGAGGGCCACGCGGCACCCCTGGCCTAGTGTGAGTGTAGCCTAAGACATTCATATTGACTCCACAACGGCGTAATATAGGTGTCCCAATCTGTGAATTCACAGTGTGTTACAGATTTGCAAAATGGCAAGAGAGAGAGCACAGCACAACGGGAGCTTTACATACACACACACCAGTCAGACATGCACACACACAGCGCTGTTCTCCCCCCTGTAACGCCTCTGTTTGTTCCACCCGAGGCGGCACAGAGGGAGGCGGATCACTTTGAATATTGATCCTGAAGAGCACCCTTATATAAATATACCCTCTTATAGTTTAATACCAGATTTCTTCTTCTCTTCCTGAACAATCCGCAGATACAAGATGACGTGCGAGTACACCTGGCCAAACCACCTGATGGCCACGGACAGAGAGGCCGTCGAGGCCATCGTCACCCAGCACGGTTTCCAGGGCGACGTGGAGTACGGACACACCAAGCTGTTCGTGCGGACGCCGCGCTCCCTCTACACCCTGGAGCAGGAGCGAGCCACCCTCATCCCCATCCTGGTGCTTTTCCTGCAGAAGGTCAGACACGTCAGGATGAGTGTGACTGTAATGTCGAAGGTTCTTTCTTGTGCGTTTAGTATTCCTCCACAGCCTCAGCATGATTTCAGAAATCTTAAATGTCAGATCTCAAAGGCTGTTTTCTGGAAGTCGTGCGTGGATTTTGATAAGAGTGCATTGATCTTGACAGTCTGATTAATCGACACAGAGACCTAATTGAGCTCGGATCATGTGATCCCGGTTAATCATGAATAACATTATCGTCTCCCGTTACAGACTCGGGCCTCTGGGTTTCAAAGAGGAGATTGCAGTTTGCCTCAGTCTCATGAATATGTGGCTCCTGGTTATGTTTGACTGAAATTCATCTGCCTGCTTGAATTCTAATTTCCTGTAACAATAATTGAGATAATTAATGAGATCCAGAGCACAGTCACATTAAAGTCAATTACCTCCCCTTGCTCAATGAAACACCCCTCTCCCTCCTCTTCCTCCTGACCTACTTTGATGACTCTGCGGAGAAGTCTGAGTCTAGAACTGGAAGGAAGTTTGTCTGCAGCTCGTCGGGACTCTCTCTCTCTCTTTCTTTAACACGTCTCTCTTTCCCTCAAACCCTCAAGGTGTGGCGGGGGGCTTTAGGTCGCATGAGGTGCAGAAGGATGAGGGCCATCTATGCCATCATGGGCTGCTACAAGCGCTACAAGGTGAAGGCCCACTTCTGGGAGGTGGAGCGGAGGTTTGCTAATGTGCGAACCATGGCCGACTACGGGAAGAGCGTGGACTGGCCGACCCCGCCTGCAGCTCTGTCCCAGTTTCACAACATCACAGTCATGCTGCATCGCAGGTCAGAACCCGGGAAGGGAAACTCATAATGACACAATGAAAATAACCAGCTAAAATGTTTTTTTTTCTTGGTTTTTTTATGTTAAATCCTCAACCATGCTCACAGTTGTACTAACTGACTCAGAGTTTAAGTTGTTTACGGACTGAATGTTAACACTGATGCCAATTTATGATCTACAAAAACAAACCATCAATGTGAAGATGGATTATTTATACATAGTTGTTTTTTTATGCATGGTTCTGTAGCATAGGGGGAAAAAAACAGGCTGGTTCTGTCCATTCACAGCATTTCTTGGAGCTGACTTCAATGACTATTCCATGAAAACACTTTAAATAGTTTTTACTGATTGTGGTGAAACTGGATCACATGTTGTGGAGAAAAAAAAAAAATCGACTTTTCTGTCTTTATGTCATGTGGCTGATGTGCTGAAGTTGAACTGTAACTGCTATTTATAAGATAGCTCAGTTAGCCGTGCAGCTGACTTTTAGCTTTAAGCAGTAAAACCAAAGAGTACAGTTAAAAACCAGGTTACACTGTTACAGGGGGGTCTGTCCCATTTTGGGCTCCTGTTAACTCAGGACTGAATCTCTGGGTTGGGGCGCTGACTGATGCCGACCGCCTTCTTCCTCCTCTCCTGCGTCATGTCTCTCATGCACTTAATTCTACACTCTGTTTCTGTTTCTAATGAGTCATGCTTAGTGGTTCTGTAACATTGTTTCCTGTCATTAGAAAGGCCAGTTACACATTTTTTTTCATCCATTTTCTGTAACGTCGAAAACTTGAATTGTGCAGAAAGACAACGGGAGAGGAAATACTGAAAAAAAAGAAAAGAAGTTAATGTTTCTCTGCATCTCTGGAACGCTGGAAGAGTTGAGCTCGACTTTGATTCGTAGTACATCACACCTTTCATTCAGTGACAGGTGTCAGGCTTCTGTTTGAAGCTTTGTGTTTCTAAGATTCTATCCAGACGACTTAAAGCTGGATGCCTTGTCACTTCTGAACACAACACAAGTCTTCTTACTGCTCCTCTTGACGGAGCCTCGCCCAGCTGTTTCCCCCTCTTTACTCCAAACCCCTTAATGTGGATTTATTTAATCACACAGACATTGAAGTGATATTTATCTTCTAATCCTCCAGATCGGCATTAAAACAGTTAAAATAAATCTCAGCATTTGAGTAATAACTTCAATGTGTTACTCCGGGTGAGCGAGAGCGAGAGAGATCTTTTTTGATCAACATGAATATGTTTTGGCACTTCAGATAAAACCTCTTTTTTTTTTTTTCTTCCATCCCTCACAGACTTCAAGCTTTTTTTTTTTTTTTTCCTCCCACTGCATTGTTTTCCTTTGCACCTTTGATGTATGGCTCCACCCACGTGACATGCTGTCTTGTTCCCATCCCCTTGTTGTCAGGTGGTGGGCGAGGCAGATCGTGAAGAACATCCCTCCGTCTGACACGCTGGAGGTGCGAGCCAAAGTGGCGGCTCTGACTGCTCTGAGCGGAGAGAGGAAAGACTGGGGAGTCAGCAGAGCCTGGGAGAGGGACTACCTCGCCAATGTAAGAACCACATACGATCACGATCAGGTGTGTCAACCTGTGGTTAGGTTGACTGAACGTTAGGCAGAGACAGCATTTCCAGCATGGCGGCTGCTGCTGATGAGCCTCCAGAACCCCCTGCAGTGACAGACGGGTGACGTCACTCAGGCTTCAAACATTAATATTCAAATTCAAATGCAGCACTAAAGAGCAGGGATAGTTGGTAAGAATCTTTACTTAAGACTCAGCTTGTAAAGGACAAACAGGTAGGTAAAGTTCAGTTCTTTGGCGTGGACTGGAGGCTTCGGCTTGGGGGTCCAAACTGTGAGATACACAAGTGATGAAGGGGTAGGTAAATGTTCACAGAATACACGCAGACGGCGACACAGTGAGAGTCTCTGATCAACAGAGGAGGAAACAGGTGAACTCACTCTGCAGCATTGTTTGTTAAGAGTCAGCACACGGCCAGAGGAAGAGGCAGACAGGAACAAGTGACACTGGGGCAGACTTCAAGGTCAGGGGCAGGCGGCTGAGATGATTTTAAGGATCATAACAATGCATGCAGGGTCAGAAAGAGGGACTCAGTAACAGAGTGAGGGCTGGAGAGTCGAGCATTTGATGTCAAAGAACGGTCTTGAAATGTGCGAGTGAGCAGGAGAGGTTTTCCTACTGGCTTGATTGCAGACGAGAGGCAGCTGTGTCCGCAGGTGAGCGGGGTTGAGCTTGATGAGGTGGGAGTGATCGGCAGACAGAGTGAAGCGGAGGCAGGCTGAGTGGAAAATGACTTGAGTGGGGGGTTCAGGTGAGCGGAGGAGTAGAAATGTGACAGTTGTGAATATGGAAGTGTTTGTTAGATTCATTTTGATTCAGGAGAAACAGGTTTCAAATGAAATGTTTTTTGACTGGTGAATAAATCTTGTTATATCAGCGCATATATGAGTGAAATTAGGCGATACCGACAGTCACTTGATACGCTGATATCAGACGATGTTATCAGGCTTTAATAAATTGTTGTCATCCAATGATAATGTGTTTTTATGAACTTTCTAACTTACTATCTGAGGACCTCATTGACCGTGTCCTCTTCTTTGACACACTCCACTCAACAACAAAATGCTTCTTTTTTTTTCCTTTTACAGAGATGAGTGAAAAAGTCCACTCACTTCACTGGCAGAATAATTCCTTTTAGATTCATCTCAACACTTGAATACCCAGCAGTGTTTCTGATCACAGGAATCGTCTGTTGTTGGGGATGTTTGTGGCGCATGTGACGAGAGCTCGCAGTAAACAGCGTGACTGAAAGAGGACAGCGCTCATGAACACAGCCCTTCCTTAATGAATCCCACAGTCGGCTCATTTAGCAGCTAATCCGAGGGTGTTTGCTCGCTCGAGGCTCTTGAGAGACGCCTTCGGGGGGGGGGTGAGCATGACCACCACAGAGTCCTGAGTCACTCCTCTCGTTAGCCCGTCAGACGGCCCGTGACTCGCCGCCCTCCTCCAGGGCTCCAGCTTCACGTGATTGTAGTTAAATCCTACAAAGACCTATAGTTAAATGCACTCAGTCAGCCTGAATCGTGACTCGTGTGTGTGTGTGTGTGTGTGTGTGTGTGTGTGTGTGTGTGTGTGTGTGTGTGTGTGTGTGTGTGTGTGTGTGTGTGTGTGTGTGTGTGTGTGTGTGTGTGTGTGTGTGTGTGTGTGTGTGTGTGTGTGTGTGTGTGTGTCTGACGTGTCCGAGTACCAATTAGTGTAAATCATGTATTCTCGTAAAAAAAAACCTTCAACAGATTAAAGATTAAAGGGTCAACAAGTTGACTTCAATATTTCAGATTAAAGCTCGTCTTACAAATCAGAGCAGGGAAGTTGTTGGCATGGCAACCCTTCAGGACAAGAAGCTGTGAGCTGGAAAAGATGATCATAATTTATTTTTTTTTTTAAATCAAGTTTTCGCTTGATTTTTCAGGCGGCTGGGAGCGATAATCGTATACGTGTGATTTTTTAAAAAACATCTAACTTGATGAATAATGAAAACTGTCTTTGCAATCGCGTGCAACTTACGTCCTACAGCGTTATTATGATATATTACCCTCAGTTCAGAATCATTAGAAAAGGAGCTTAATGTAGAGGAGAAGTGTGATTTCATTACTTATTCTTCTTCATGTGTGCTCAGAGGAGCACAACAGGAAGTCACCAGGCTCATCCATAGATCCCTCTGAACATGGACCCAAATAAGCTTCACATCAACAATCTTCTAATAAGACTTTAACCCTTTTCACACATACTGAAATCTCCTGAAAAACTCTGGAGATTTGGCTACCCGGAGGTTCTTTAGGCTGTGTGTGAACACAAACAGATGCATTTTTCACGCGGTCTTTACCCGGAGTTTCTCCAGCCAGACCCCTCGTAGTTTATCCACAGAAAATCTGAGTGAGCAGCATATACTCTGGAGATTTCAATTTGAGCCAATAGAAAGAGAATGACTGGCTAAAGTGTCTGCACGCGACCTCTACGATCTCCGTGCTCTAATTAAACGTCTGCATTCTGTTTTCTGTTGGTCAGGTTGTTGTTCTCCTCTCTTTTGTGGATGTTGTCATTCCATTGGATTACACATAGCATTGATATAAAGGCAAATATTCTCATTATAACGTCGTTAGCGGACTCTGTTGCTTCAGCCGCTACTTCCACGTTGTTTATTTACATCACGTCTTACCTCAGGAAATCCCCCGAGCCCCCCTCCCCTCTGACAGGGAAATTCCCCCGCTGTGAGGAGCATATGTGAACGACTAGGTCGGGAGAATCTCCGGAGAAGTCCTCCTGTAAATATCTAGATATTATCCGGAGTGCTTCAGTGAAAAAGGCTTTTGTTAACATTTTTGGTTAAAGGAATTAGCTCCCATACGACCAAAAGAGCATCAGTGAGGCTGTAAACCTGTGTTGGGGCAAACTTCTTGGTGTTTTATCCAACACACTTTTAGCAAATGCAAAAGTTCTTGGGAGAAATGGTCACATAAAAAGTTTGAGATTTTCCTCTTAGCGGGCCCCCCCACCACTGTATTTTTAATCAGGCAGTTTAGCTCCAGTATCAGGCCACCCTCACCCTCATCCTTCTCCGACAGCATGTCAAACTCTGTGTCTGCTAACTGCACCCCGAGGCCCTGAGCTTTCATCTCCTTCTTATAGAGATAAAGCAACAAAACGAAGAAGAAGAGGTCACCCAGAGTTACACTCCTAAACCGTCTGAAATGTAACTGCATGATGATGATGATAACATCAGCCGGCTTCTCACAATAACACGACTCTTTCAACTCTGCAGGTGCGAGACAGCCCTGAGACCAGCCCGGGCTTCGTCCGTATTTCCAAGGAGCTGAGGAACAAAGACGAGTACTCTCAGGTCCTCTTCTCGGGCTTCTGCAGAAAGGTACAGTTTGTGTGGGAGGAGAACGAGATGATCAGAAATGAATGTTTTGTACGAGGAGTTTCCTTTCTTTTGCTGTTCCCTTGCAGCTCTGGGATATTTTTCTCTCCTTCTTCTGTGTTCTCTGTTCCACCCCCTCGCACTCCTCTTTCATGTTTTCATGTTTCCAGCGGTGAACACGGCCCTCTCAGACAGAAATGTGAAGAATACAAATCTCAGAGGATTAATCATGAAAGGCATTGAACTCCTTAACCCTACAGATTGTCCTCTTCTTTTCTGCCACTGAAAAGACTCGGCTGAATTATTATTTTTGCCTCATGCTGAACTTGCTCTTATCGTCTCCCTTGGGGATCACAGTGGCCATATTTTCCTTATCAGGGATTGTGGAGCGAGGGATTCCACTAAAACTCTTGGTGCAGCTTTTAAGCCAAAGTATGCCTGGAGATATGCAGGCTTTGATAAAGGCAATGAAACCATCTCCAACTCTGACAAACCCACCGGAGCTTTTATCTTGAGTCTGAAGTTCTCTTTTTATTTCCTGCTTTGTGAATGTTTCTTGTTTGCAGCTCCACAAGGAAAACCTAGAGAAAACAGCAACAACTAAAAAGAAAAATAGAAAATGTGCAAATGTGGAGCTTTATCCTCTCTCTCTCTCTCTCTCTCTCTCTCTCTCTCTCTCTCTCTCTCTCTCTCTCTCTCTCTCTCTCTCTCTCTCTGCTCTCTCAGGTGAATAGATTCAACAAAAGCACAGACCGAGGCCTGCTCGTCACAGACAAGTACGTCTACAAATTGGAGCCAAAGAAACAGAACAAGGTTTTGAAGAGGCTTCCTTTGGACGCTGTAAGTACTCACATGGGAGAGAGCGTTCATGCACAGACGCACCACCACACTCCACCCCGAACCCTTAAAGCTACAGAGCCGCGCACACATCCAGATAAAGACACGCAGAGCAGGCCTTTTTAAAATAGATTTTAATTGAACTTAATTGTGTTCTTCTGTAGTTTTTGAACAAACAAAATAAACACTGAAAAAGTTGCATAAAGCTGCGCTGTGGCTCACCACCTTCAAGTACTTTAGTCCGGGTATAAGGATTGGGGTTGCACGTGCGTTGTTTGCTCTTGTGTTAATCCATGATTGGTCCACTATACCTAATTCTGCTGCAGTGAAACACAGATATAAGTTCCTGAGAACTGTTCTAATTAGGGTGAATATTGCTACATGCCTCCATGATTCAGGCTTTTGCAAAACTAGACGCACAAGTTACAGTTATGTGCACGCAGGTCACCATGTGGTGGACACTGTAGCTTCAGTGTTTGTCCAGCTCTGCATCGCTCTGTAAACCTTTCTGTGTTCTAACCTCTCTCCATTTTTCAAAAGCATCTCCAATATTGATCCTAGTTTGAGCACGTTTCTGCTCGTGGAGCTTATTAGAAACATGCAGAGGCTTTTTAGGTCGGGTACAATCACTTCTATCTGAGCCACTTCTCTTACCCGCTTCGGTCGCTGGAACACCTGTTGACCTGATAACTGCTCTCATATCTGACAAACTGAAGGGCAAGGGTGGAGGGGCAAGGGGTAAAATGGCCAAGTGGGGGTGCCTTAAAACAGACCATTCAGCATGTTTCCTTAATGTCCGATGATACAGTAAAGTCATTTTATGATTTAATACAGTAGATATCTTATGTTAGGAACCCTTAAATGTATTATTATTAAAAATAAATTACCACAACAGTCATTTTACCAATGGTTCTGGGGTTTTTCCCAATTTGGGGGAAGTTTGAAGTAAAAAAAACAAACTGAAAACCAGACAAAACAAAAGACTTGACAGCTCAGGTGTAAGAACAGCAGACAGATTACTGTAGAGCTGGTGAGGGAAGGTGGGAACAAGTGAAGGTGTTAATATCAGAAGACAGGAACAGAGTTAACGGGGATAGGACAGGAGGGAGAGGCTGGATCTTAAATGTCGGGAACGCAGGAAAAAACGAAGAAACAAAGAAAATGAGAGAATGACAAAACAACCAACTTGACAAAGATCCTCCAGAGCTTGTTTTATTTTATTCTCTGTGACAGGGTAACTAAAAATCTCCATTAGCATTACACTTCACTGGACTTGTGAAAGGTTGGTGGATTCCCTCTTTAACTCTAAACAAAGTCTCGACCCCAAAATAAACCGTTACATAATGAACCTCAATCTGACACATAAAAAAAAAGAAGAGCTCAGACACACGCTGTGCAGCACCAAACAGCAGCTCTACTCCCTAATAGCTACCAGGAATGTGGGTCAGACCTGGTACTCTATCCCAGCTGTCATCTGTTTACACACACACACACACACACTCACACACACACACACACACTCACAGACACACAGGTCTGCGTCACTTTTGACCCGGGTCACTGCCATCCATCAATCAAAAAGAGAAGTACTGAAGCAGTATGAAGACTCACAGGGACAGAACACCGTCTCCTTTTGACTCAAAGAGCTCCTGACCTGTTTTGTCAGGATCTGAGAGGATGTCAGGCAGTGTGTATGTTTGTGTGTGTTTGTGTGTGTGTTGGTCAGGTGTGTGTTTGCGTGTGTTTGTCAGGTGTTAGGCTTGATGTGCAGACAGCTCTGTTTAATCTGACTCTTTCTGTGATCCTTGAAATAATAACTTGATCTCACAGATTGATGGATTTCTGCATGACACAGGATCTTCATGATGGAAGAACTTGATTTAAGATTCACTTCTCGCTGAGGCCGTTGAGCAAACAGTTCATATTTGTTGACATTTGACGTATATGCTGAGTCATTGCTGTCATGGGTTTGACACCAACAAACCCCTCAGTAAGGGCAAAATAATCTTCCAAACAGGATTTATTCGGTTTAGTTATTCTTTTTTTAAATATGAAATAAACCCAGAATAGTTTTAATCCCTCATTGAACACAGAAAAAACGGTCTTGTCTTGAACTGTGGTGGGTTTTTCAAAGACTGCGCCCCATGAAGTGCTCGTCTTATTGTTCTTTTTCTCGATGGCGTGGCATTTGCCGTCATTCCTGTCATATCGGAGGCTTCAGCTTTGACATTTTGATGTCACCGTCTATTCTTGACTTCATCAGGTGTTGCGCTGGTTACAGGTTTGCTCTTAAGTGTATGTAGACATGTGCACAAGGACGGACGATAACAACCTGACAGAGAGTGAGTCAGCACCGCTGGACACCCAGCAGAGGTTTTAGAGAGAGTGAGAGAGAGAGAGAGAGAGAGAGAGAGAGAGCGCTGAAACATGCCAGAGGGTTAAAAACCATCATTATGCGGCAGCGGAGCGGCTAAAGATAGCTGATGCCATTAAGCTCTGCTGCTCACACGGAGGGGAATGAGTCTTATCCAGGTCAGAAACTGAGAATAAAACACTAAAGAAAGCAACGCTGCTTTTTCTCCTCTCAGTGTGTCAAACGGAGTCTCTCCGGCCATCAGTCTGACCGCCAGCACAGATGTCTGAAACTTCACTCAGGTTAAAGCCTGACGGAGCGAGGTGACCAATCACCAGAGCCGTACAGAAGTGAAGGTTTTAACACCTGACCTCGTGTTTAAAGAGCTTAAAAACAAAAACATGCAAACTAACAGAACTCAGTGAATGAACAAAAGAGTTCTCTGATGATTTATAAATAATGTGAGGTTTCTAGGTTCAGGAAGTGGTTTGATCCGCCTGTCGAAGTGTCCTCGTGTGTGTGTGTGTGTGTGTGTGTGTGTGTGTGTGTGTGTGTGTGTGTGTGTGTTAGAACCCGATGAGTGTGCGCCATCATTCTTTGAAAGTGTGTTAATGGGGTCAGTGGTCATGTGAAGCAGCATGAGTGCTCTAAAGACTAGAAAAGTGTTTTACAACGGGAGTCCATGTACCACTTACATGACTCACATAATGAGCACTTCCTGTGGTGGCAGTAAAAATGAGCTGCGCTGAAAACGTTACTCTGATAAAGGTTATGTTACACGCTGGTCTACGTTAAGAGGTAACTAAGACTGGGAGGCTGCGGTCTGTCAGACACGCTCACAGTTTACCACTAACAGGAAGTAACAGCGTTGAAAAAGAACAATCTGCAGCTTAAGTTGATTAACTTTCTGAATTTGGGTCAAATCTGAATGAATTTGGGAAGGTTTTGTTCCCGCCTGCACAGACTCGGCACTGGCTGAGTTTGCTGCTGTTGTCGTTATTCCTGCTGAGATGGAAGAGACTCTTTGGACAGACGAGACATCATTTATCAGAATCAGGTTTTTTGACAGATCTAGGTTTACACACACAAGATGGAGAAGAAACTTAGTTAGCTGCGCTCTTATTGTTAGGAGGCTTAAACTGAAAAAGACAGAACAAAAACATGAAATCCTTACTGAACAGAATATGTACAAAAGGTTTATTTAACATGCTGTGACGTGGCAGGAAGATGCAATTTGACAGTAAGTAGAAATATCTTACAGTTTATAATCAAGTTAAAAAAGAGTAAAAATCTGGTGTCCATAAAGTCAACGTGTGTGATTTTATTATTGGTAGTAAAGAGAGTCTTGTAGGTCAGTGTTCAGTAAGAAAGATGAGACCATTTGAAGAATACAAATGTAAAGAAAAACAGAATGAGTGACATTTATCAAAAAAGAAAGATAATAGGTTTTTAGTTTAAGCTTCTCAAATATACGGAGTGCTGATAGCTTGTAGTCATGGTTGCAGCGGTAATGGGTTTGAATTGACCTCTGCCCTTTGCTGGATGCCCCCCCCTCCCCCACACTCTCTCCTCGCAACATTTCCTGTCTCTCTTCAGCGGTCCTATCCAATAGAGGCTGATATTAAAAATGTTCAGCTGTTTGTTTTCCAAAAAGAGCAGCTCAGAGATTTCACCTCGCACTATGAGTTAGTCTAAGCTGCTCTTTTTTTTTTTATAGATAAAATTAAACAGTTTCTATAAACAAGATGACTGATTATGAAAACCGTCGTTAACTGAGGGTCTGAAAGCTTCATTTTTTAATATGGATTAGACCACGTGTCCTTCTACACAAACAGATCCGCTGATGTTACGAAACAAAAACTTTTTATTTTTAAGGATTAATTCTCATTAATTTTATTAAAAAAATAAATCTCCAAATCTAGTGATGTATCTGTCGATGACATTCATTTAATACACTGAATCCCTGCGTGACGACCTCTGCAGTGTGTCCCGGTTGCCGTGGGAACAGGTTGTGCCAGAATGTGGCCTTGACATTGTTGCACGTTGTCGTCCCTGCTGGATTAACCTGAGAGTACCGATGGGATGTAAGAGGCTTAGCCCACGTTGTCTCCCATTCCCTCTCTAAAATAATGTGACACACCTCACTTTCTCTCTGTGTGTGTGTGTGTGTGTGTGTGTGTGTGTGTGTGTGTTTATCGCTCGCACACACGATGATAAAAGTCAAGTACAAAATCAAACCACTTCAAGTCTTGTTAGCAAATGATATTGTATAATTTTTTGTTTGTAATTACTAAACATTGCAGGTTAACTCCTGCACACTGTCTGCACTCGCTGTGTTTATTGTACAAATACATCTGCACTGTATTTGTACAATAAACACGTATAATTTAAGAATGCTGTCTATTGATTGGGGGGCACCTACCCATTAACAGGCATAAAAAATGACTTTAAAGACATTATTAATCTTTTTTTTAAGTATGTTTCATAACATGCAAACAACTCCTCACAGGAGCTTAAAGTATATGTTGATGTAAAACAGTTTTTACTTATATTATTATTATACTTATATTATTGTATGTTTTGTAATGCTCTTTTTCTTTTCTTAGTTACATTTTTGGACCATTTGTGCCTTTATTAGATAAAACAGTTGAAGAGAATGAGGAAACGTTTGGTGGAGAGAGTTATGGGCGACGTGCTGAGGTCAGATTTGAACCCACGGTCTCTGAAATGAGAAGTATTGCCTCTTTACAGGCGGCCTAACCGCTAGTCCATCCGTCACCCCATAATGCTCTTTTACCTGAAATGCAAATATCTGAATACCTTCTGCAGCATTACTGGCAGTAACTCTGTGCATTATTCCAACTGGGTCACACCTCATGACTCTCCCTTCAGCTGCAGCACACGTGCAGCGCGGCCAGAGTTTCCCTCACCCTACATACTGCGAGCAGAAATAATCCGCTGACTTCATTCATCTTTTGATCCCGGTTATACTGTGCTGCACTTGATTCAATTCACAGGTGTTATACGTTCACCTGATAATCCCTGACATTTTTAAACAAATGAAGTTGTGACATTAAATATCTCGATCATCAGGCTGTGAATAATCGGCTCTTATACATTTAAACTGGACGTCCCATGTGCAAGTTCTGCAATCACAATTCAGTTAGCATAGACACAGTCAGAACCTGAAGCTGATGTTACTCTGATGAAAGCTCTGGTATTTGCTGCACTCGTTGGTGCTACTGATGGTTTGGTGTCAGTATTCCCATCACGAGTGGAGTCCATCACTTACTGTTAAATTCCAGCAGATGTGTGATAGGTCCGTCTGCGAGCTGATCTCTATGTGTGTGCTTCCACTGACTCCTGGAAAAGAAACACATCTGATGTTCAGTATCAGCAAGAGGCATGTTTGGACCTTTTTACTTAAATATTCCACAACTGCAACCGAGCTTCACCGCCCTTATGATCAAAATTATACTTTTACAATTCACCAAACTGTCAACAGACAAGGCAAAAGCACCATTTGTGAATAAAAACAAAGCTGTTGACAGGTACAGCAAGGTATAACAGAGGGGTAACAGTTGCATCTTGAAGTGGCTGTGTTAAAGCCGCTAAAGAAAGGTCCAACTAACGGGAGTGTGGGGTAAGATCTATATCCAGGTGACGTACAAAAGCAAACAGAGCCATCAGCCGCAATGATTTACAATCAGCGACTGTTGAAAGACAGCAGGATCAAATTTGATTGACAGGAAACAGTTCCTACACATGAACTGGGCATCAGCAAAGAGATATGAAAGATAAACTGCTTTGTCCACAGGGGGGCGCCAAATCGAGCAGAAAGGTCCTCAAAGGAGCTTTAAGTATTGATAGTGAATGTAGGCCTATTTGTTGTGGGGGAAAACCCAATGGTTTGTAATTGTTGTAATGGATGCGACCAGCATTCAATGTTCCTTATCACCAAGTCAAATCGTCCCAAACTGGTTTCTTGTGTCAGTCGCTGAACAATGGAAGCCTGCTCCTGTTTGAGAGCCATTTTCGCTTTCCTCCCCATTTCTGTTCTTATTCAATACACGACAAAACAAGCTGCAACTTGCAAGGTGTACCTGACAAAGTGACCAGTGAGTGAATGAAAGTTACAAAAAAAGTAGCTTTCAGATATCTAAAAACTCTTTACAGAAAAGTAAACTCATGTTGTTATTTTGTTCCACTGCTTTTGGAGACGACACAGACCCTGCACCAACAACTCACAAGAGTATATTCACAACAAAAAAAGCAACCTCTTTATAAAATATTATAGTTTATATAAATACATTTCACATTTACCCTTCCTTTAAACTGTGCTGTTTTTCTTCTCTGGTGGAGAAACACAAGAGATCTTGAAATATAAGAAGCTGCAATCCTCTTATTCCTCCTTTAAACGGAGCGTAGATTACTGTAATAGAGATCAGGGGATGTAGAAGGATAATGTACAGCGAGCAGGTTGTTATAGAGGAAAGAACCTGCACCAAGACAACCAATCAACAGAGCACAGCAGTGTAGTTAAAAACATGTTAAAATAAATGAATTCAATATTTGTTTGCAGGCATCAGCGTTACCGTTTATTTCTACACTTGAATGTCAAGTGTAGAAATATCAATTATCACTTTTTAAGAGTTGGTGTTGTGTCGGGTTGGTATCTGACTTTTTCTCTCCTTCTCTTCAGTTCACAGGACTGAGTGTGACCAGCGGGGTTGACCAGATGGTGGCGCTACACACGTCCGCTCAGGATGACGTGCTGCTGTGTCTGCAGCGAGGGCAGCTGTGCCCCAACCAGGACCGAGTGGGGGAGCTGGTGGGAGCCATCGTGGACCACTTCACACGGTCAGTCCCTCATGACGACTCTTTGTCACCATGAAAACATCCGCTGATTATCTGCTGTAAAGCTTCTGCAGCCTTTAAAATGATCAGTGTGAGACGTTATCTTCAGGGGCAGCGGACATGGCACACTTGGATTCTTGATCTCTTGTAGCCTTTTCACACATGCACCAAACTATTGAAAATATCCCACATTTTCAGGGTGAGCTTTGAGCATGATCTTCAAAGTTTTTATCAGGGCCGGCTCTCCTTTCAGCTAGCTGTCCGGTTGAACCTGTGTGTGGGGTGATGATGGACTGATAATGAAGCTGCTTCATACTCTTTCTGTTAGCCAGCATGTTTTTACACAGTAGATGATAAACCTGTGAGAAACTAGCAGAGTTGTTCTGAAAAGAAAAGGCCCAAGTTTAGCTTTCTCATAGTGCTTTCACACATGCAGAAAACTCCTGATATTTCCAAGAGGAGCTGTTTGTGTGAATGCAAACAGCCGGATTTTTCACTCTGACTTTACCCAAAGTTTCTCCTAGCAGACCTCTAGTACTGTTTCTGCATGAAGTCTGATTATTGTCTCACAGCTTCCTGGATCTCATGAATTACTTTTTAAATATGTGCAGACAAGTTTATGTTTTTTTCTGATGCTATTAATACAGCTTTTTAATCGACATCACTGTTTATTTTGGTTTATTAGTCAAGAAAAAGCTAAGATATTGCAACTTCCTGTAAAGAAACAGGTCAGAAAGGAAACACTGTTTGTCCCTGTTCCCACTTTTCAGACATTTCTGATCTGATTTTAATCTTCTTAAACTAACAAAGTGTGCCACGTTACTCCTAAATCCCGTAATTTTAGAGCTTTCAAAATCTAAAACTGTGGACCGCCGTCTATGTAATCTCTCAAAAAAAGAACCTCCCAACCCAAATTGTTTACTTGCTTATTTCCTGCAGTTCCTGGAAGACTTTGGAATTGTGATTATAGTTGATGACCCCTTATAGTCTCTCAACAAATGGGGCAAATAGCCTGATGCTGCTGTTTGACATATTTTCAGACACAAAAACATTTACAAAGTTTCTTATTTCTAGAAACACCTTTTTGAGCTCTTTGACCAGGAAGGTATAGACAGCACACCACTTACAGTTTGCTAATTAAATACAACTAAACACACACAACCCAGAGAGAGATTAAAGATTAAATCCAGCTCCAATAAGGCAATTAGACCTCTCAGTAACACCTTTAACAGGGCCTTGAATTAAAAAGTACACTGTAAAAAAAGGGCTGTGAAATCCACAATAATTAACTGTGTTACTGCCCTCTTTTTAACTGTGAATATGTTTACGGTATGGTACCGTGTTATAGGTCTGAAAACACAGTAATAAACACAATGCTGCAGAAATCACAGTAAAAATCCCTCAGCTGTAAATAATTACAGAAACCATTATGCTACTGTAGGAATTCACAGTAATAACTATAATACTGTAAAAAATGCAGTAACCATTACAGTACTTTAAGGAATCACAGTAAACGGTGTAGTACTGTAGAAATATTTATCTAAACTATTAATTTCAGCATTTTGTTCACTGATTCACTGCTCTATGTGGTCACCTTTCAATAACAAACGTATATCTTTTTAAGTTACACTCACAGAGTCTCCCAGTTTGAAAATCTCTGCCAGTAATCCGTTGCTTTAATGGACATGCGACACATTTTCTTTCATCAGTCGCTATCTCTGTTTTCTTAAAAAAAGCATATTCCTCTCAGATCATAACTTCTCCCCTTCATTTTCAAAACCTTTTAGAAGCTGAAAGGGATTCAGGGAACATGATGTGTTTTTTAAAATCAAGATAAGAAGAACAAAGGGTGCTGGGTTACCTCTGTCAGTAGAGCAGGCACCGCATGTGCAGAAGCAAACAGCTTCACCTCATGCTGTTGGGTGCAACTCTCTACCTTCATTTCGTCCTTCACATTTCTTTTCTCTCTGAAGCGTGGCGCTTACAGACTGCCATTTGTAGGCAAAATACTTACCGTATTTTCCGCACTATAAGGCGCACCGGATTATAAGGCGCACCTTCAATGAATGGCCTATTTTAGAACTGTTTTCATATATAGGGCGCACCGGATTATAAGGCGCATGGAATAGAAGATACTGCAGTCAAACGTTTGACTGGGGTTGCGTTATGCATCCACTAGATGGAAAAAGGGAATGTCAACAAAACAGTCAGATAAAGTCAAACTTTATTAAGCGTTCTGACAACTCCGTTCACTCCCATGGTAACGTTGTTCAAACGTTAATGTGCATATTCACAATATCTCCCAGCCTTGTTCAGTTGTAAACACGTAAAAGAAACACAGTCTGATACCGCTAATTCAAACGTTAGTGCGTAACTCAACATTGTTCAGTTACGTATAACACGTAAAGCTCACTTTTTCAGTTCATTCCCCGTCCACGAATCCCTCGAATTCTTCTTCTTCAGTGTCCGAATTGAACAGTTGGGCGAGTACGGCATCCAACATGCCCGGCTCCCTCTCGTCATTATCCGAGTCAGTGTCGCTGAGCGCCGTGTACAACCAGTATGGATCAACCAATTAACCAATTGATCCATATATAAGGCGCTCCGGATTATAAGGCGCACTGTCGTTTTTTGAGAAAATTAAAGGCTTTTAAGTGCGCCTTATAGTGCGGAAAATACGGTACGTCCCTGTTGCGCCTGACGTGCAAATGTGAAACAGGCGGGAAATGCTGTAGTGAAATTGTTAACAGTAACAGAGGTGTAATGGGGACAACGACCCGGCAATGTGTAACGTTGGAGCCAGCGAGACAGAACAGTGTCTCGTGTGTGTGCATGTCTGAGTGTGTGTGTGTGAATGTGAAGCTCCTGTTTGTGCTCATACACATGCCTGTCGTTCTTATGTCATGTGAATTCACACACTGGGACATCAATATTTCACCCTTACGGATGCAATGTCTTAGCAGAAAGGCGTACTGACGGAGGAGCCTCAGTCTGTGAGTGTCTGCTGTATCGCCTAGTAACGACCAAAAAGCACCAAACGCTAATCTCATCTCTACAAAAAAAAAGATAAATAGAAAAATAATTGCTGCATTTCCTTCAGCCTCATCATTTTTTTGTTTCTCTGAGATGAGACGTCATTTCATTGGGACAAAACACAGCAAGCAGCTCATTTTCTCTCGGTGCAGATCTTTTCACAGAGAGGAGAAATTAATGAGAGCCCTCAGCTGGTGAAGTGATTGTTCACAGAGAAGACACGCACGCAGCCTTTTGGGTCAACTGAATAAACACAAACGCTTCCTTCCCCCGGCTCAAACGTAGTCTATTAATGCAGAATAACAATTACACCAATGGTACTCCTGGCATTTATCAGTGTCATAGTTGTCTGCGTCTGCAGCCCGCTCTGAATAAACCCGCCGTGAAATGAATCAGTCACACTGACATTTATCACATTTATCACTCCTGACCCGATTTGTCGTTTCTGTTTATAAATCTGATTCACATCAACCCACATCCATCTCTGCCAGGCTTTCATTTGAATGGCACTACCAGCAAGTTTTCACACACAACAGACTGTTGTGGATGTGTCGGTGGGCGTGTGTGTGTGTGTCTGTGTGTGTGTGTATAAGTGTGGGTGTGTGTTGTTGTAAGTACGCCCCACTGAGACAGCACCCAGTCAGCTGGGATTGGTCTTTCAAAAATCTTTAATCCTCCAAATCCTGCCAGGAGCACAGGGAGTGACGTGGAAAAATACAAAATACAAACAAACACACAGAGGAGGAAATCCTCCGAGCTGCTGCACCGGGTCCATATGAATGTTCATGAAGGTTCGTTCATTTTAAACAAAGTCTGCTGGTGTTTTTGAAGTTTCAGCCTCGCAGTAGATGAACATACTTTGTGGTGACAAACAAAACCATCTGCCTTTGTTTATTTGTGACTCTTTTAGCTCAAGGCCCGTCTCCCACGAGTCCATATTAGCTAGCCGAACTGAATTCATCAGTGTTTGTTTTTATCGTTCAAAATGGAAATAAAATACACAAAAAAACACATTTAAGAGTACGTATTAACACTGTAAAACATAGTGTCTAAAACACATACAGAGCATATATGAACACTGTAAAACATAGTGTCTAAAACACATACAGAGCATATATGAACACTGTAAAACATAGTGTCTAAAACACATAAAGAGTACGTATGAACACTGTAAAACATAGTGTCTAAAACACATAAAGAGTACATATGAACACTGTAAAACATAGTGTCTAAAACACATAAAGAGTACGTATGAACACTGTAAAACATAGTGTCTAAAACACATAAAGAGTACATATGAACACTGTAAAACATAGTGTCTAAAACACATAATGAGTACGTATGAACACTGTAAAACATAGTGTCTAAAACACATAAAGAGTACGTATGAACACTGTAAAACATAGTGTCTAAAACACATAGAAATCACATATGAACACTGTAAAACATAGTGTCTAAAAACACATAGAAATCACATATGAACACTGTAAAACATAGTGTCTAAAACACATAGAAATCACATATGAACACTGTAAAACATAGTGTCTAAAACACATAGAAATCACATATGAACGCTGTAAAACATAGTGTCTAAAAACACATAGAAATCACATATGAACACTGTAAAACATAGTGTCTAAAACACATAGAAATCACATATGAACGCTGTAAAACATAGTGTCTAAAACACATAAAGAGTACGTATGAACACTGTAAAACATAGTGTCTAAAAACACATAGAAAGCACATATGAACACTGTAAAATATAGTGCCTAAAAACACATAGAAAAGCACATATGAACACTGTAAAATATAGTGCCTTAAAATACAAATACATTCAACAATAATAAACAGGGACCCTGTGAAATACCTAAAAAGACTGTTATAGTAGTCTGTAAGCCGTAAACTTACTGTTTATAAACCGCACTACAAAAGCAGGAACTATCCCTTTAAGCAAAGATTAAATCATT